ATGGCAGTCCTGTATTTTTGCAACATAGGACTTTTGCAGTATAGGACTAATGCCAGTATTAGATTTACAATTAGACAAACTTTATTGATCCACAAGGGAAATTATTTGGACACAGTAGCTGACACATCACAATATAATATAACAACAAAGTGAAAAAATATAAATGGTAATAATGAATTCTAAATAAGTAGCAAAAAGATAGCAAGCGACCGGTGTCAAAAAGACATAATTATATAAATGTATATGGACAAGTCAAAATAAATAAATGTAAAATCACAACTTTATACAAGAGGTAATAGGAAGACAGTGCAACAATGATATGATTATTAACAGGACATAGGGTTATCTGTTACATAAGGGTGAGTCGTTGTACTGTTGTATGGAGTGTGGTTTGAATGTAGTCCTGTATCTCTCACTGTTTGAGCGGAGCTGCAGGAGCCTGTTGGAGAATGAGCTTCTCTGTCCTTCTACAGTCTGGTGCAATGGGTGAGCAGGGGTGTCCATGATGGAGAGCAGTTTGTCCAGTGCTGTGGTGCTGTGTGCATTCGCAGCCATCTTTGTGTTTGTGTTAGGACCCTCGTGAAAAAGAAATGGATCCTCTCAATGTGCGGTCTTTAAATAAATAAATACAATCTGGAAGTTGCCAGGGGCTCTGGTATTATCATTCTGGTTGTAAGAAGTGGTTTACATAGAGCTGACGATCTCAGTAGCTATTAATAAGTTCTACACAGACTACAAAGCCATTTTCAAGGCATCCAAAGAAAGAGTGTATTGTTGATTTGTTGGTGCACATGAACATCAAATCAATCTATTTTATATATTCTTTTAGTGGGAGCCCTTTCCTCTAGTTATTTATTGAAATAAATAGAATTCCTGCTAGATCCTGGTGATGTAATTACTAATATATATGATTTCTTGGTGTAATCTTAATTCTTTCACTGCATTTCTCTCTTTTGTAATCTGATTTCGTATATCCCAGAATCCCCTGGAGTTTTCCTGCAGAGGGAGCAGGTAGGGAGGGCTCTATTAGAAACACTACAGGAAGAATATTTTTCATCATGATTGCAAAATGTATAGGCTATACTCTTTTCTTGTGCTATTTCATTTATTTTTTAATTATGGTGCTGTCATATAACATGGGCTAGAACCTTTTAAACTACAAATCACTATTAACAGTCATTAAATTAGTCATAAAATGAATGATTGATTAGTCACTATTAATCCAGTTGTTGCAGTCCTATATCACAACACTAACACAAATTCTTTCACTGCATCTTTTGCTCTTATAGGTCTGTCGACTTAGCGTTCAATACATGATAAATGGAACCATTATTTTTGGGGGTCAATATTTATCATTTTTACTTTTTGCTAGTAGTGAGAAACGTTTTGTTATTGTTTTGTTAGGGTCATCAGAAGTATCAAAAATCAGATACTAATAAATAATAAAACTAGTATCGAAACTAGATACTCGATTGAACAGTATTGATACCAAAAAATTACATGAACAGGACAGAAATCAACCTTTCATGAGTAGCTTTAGAATTATCTTGCTGTATCAGAACAAGTATAATACCACATACAAATGGACAACTGGGGATACACAGATACACAAACCACATGATAATATATAAGAAAGTATTATTATTTAATATTGAAAGTGACATTGTACTGTCTACAGAAAGAGTGTTTTAATTATAATTGTGGCACATTAGTCTATTCCTCCTTTGTAATGAAATGGAGTTGGAAAGTTTTGTATCGTGAGAACACAATATTCTGCACTACGATCAGATTTGAGCTTTTGGGGTGGAGGGCAATCCTACTAAGGGTATAATGGCATTCAGTATTATCTTTTATCAACATATTTTCTTCAGCAATATATTGTACTTCAAAATGTGTTATCGTTTTGTGTTATCGTGACAGGCTTACGCTCTTGTAATCTGATTTCTTATTACCCAGAATTCCCTGTTGTTTTCCTGGAGAGGGGGCAGGTACAGCTCGAGTAGAAACAGAGGATAAGGAGGAGCGATGTGCAGAGGATTTATGACATGTTACTGGCAATCACATTAAAATTCTCCAAGCCTCCCAGAGACAGATGCTCAGGGTACCACAGTTTATCACCTCGACATGCGATTGTGCTCACCTCCACAGCAGCTTTTACAATGTTAAATCATGGCCTGAATCATGGCATTTATAAGCAGATCATAAACGCGGTACAGGTGGCAGTGCCCTTGAAGAATGCTTTTGATGAGTTTTGCCGACTGTACTTGTTTTCTGCAGCGTTTGACCTTTCTATGTCTTTTCTGGTTGTTTTCTTTTCGCTCTATCATCAAGTGGTTCAGCTTTATTCGCACAGTGGCTTTCTTGTTCAGCTCCTTACGCTTTGGTCTTGAGTTCAAATCAAATATACATTAATGCCCAAAGGGAAATTTGTCCTGAGGAAGTGCTGAACAAATTGCAGCTGTATACAGTATATACAGTAGAAGAAAACCAACAAGGATATACATTACGGGGCTGACCTTGCCTGGCAAATCCAGAATAATATATCTCTCTGTATTTCTTACAGATTGATATCTGTATGGTCTCCACACCCTCTGTTTTGTCTTAATCCCATCCAAAAGTGATTGTCCAATCAGAATGTCTAATCAGTAACACATGTGCTATGAATGAGCTTATTGGTCACCTATTATTTACAAATTCCTATTCCTTTTTCCTTTTGTGCCCCCATATGACCAGACCATGTGTATCCCTGATCGGCTAATCCACATGTCAATCATGTACATTTAAAAACTGGGACTTATATCTTCATAAAGTATTGAGGAAGTGTGTATCCTTCCCAGGCAACGGCTAACCAATCTGATCACCTTTTCTCTGTTATGTATTATGTATCCATCCATCCATCCATTTTCGTCCGCTTATCCGGGGCCGGGTCGCGGGGGCAGTAGTCTAAGCAGGGACTCCCAGACTTCCTTCACCCCAGACACGTCCTCCAGCTCCTCCGGGGGGACCCCGAGGCGTTCCCAGGCCAGCCGAGAGACATAGTCCCTCCAGCGTGTCCTGGGTCTTCCCCGGGGCCTCCTCCCGGCGGGACATGCCCGGAACACCTCCCGAGGGAGGCGCCCAGGAGGCATCCGAAACAGATGCCCAAGCCACCTCAACTGGCTCCTCTCGACGTGGAGGAGCAGCGGCTCTACTCCTCCCGTGTGACTGAGCTCCTCACCCTATCTCTAAGGGAGCGCCCAGCCACCCTGCGGAGGAAACCCATTTCAAGCACTTGTATCCGCGATCTCGTCCTTTCGGTCACTACCCAGAGCTCATGACCATAATGGTATTATGTATCCATTGTGTTTTAATTGTAATACTGAACATATTCATGAGGTTCAGTTTCCTGTTTATAGGTACCATTTTGAGTACTTTTACTATTCACAAGTTAAAAATGTGTTGTGCGTGAGTGATGGTGATGGTGCAGATTGGCAACTGCGCTTCCGTCAGTCTGCCCCAGGGCAGGAATTGTAGCTTAGCACCACCACCGGGTATGGAGTGAATGAATAATTCTCTGTAAAGTGTCTTTATGACATATGTCTGTGAAAAGGGCTATATAAATGAAAACTTACTTACTTACCCCCATTTCACAGTTGCTACTGACTGCTATTAAAATCAGGCAAATCACTTAGCAAAAAAAAAGTCAAATCTGACCATTTGAAGGTGTACTCTGTAGCTTTTCTTATTAAAGGTATATCACCCGCTTGTCTCCATGGAGATGTTGTCACCTGGAATGTATGGCATTATACTTATTTAACTCTGTAACAAAAAACAGGTGATGTTACTAATCAAGGTACAGGTCAGATCTGGAATATTTCTTTTCTGGCAATGAAAACTCTAAGCAATAACATTTCCACAGAAACAAGCAGATGGCTGACCTCTCCTCTCAAAAGTGACACAGTGCACCTTTAAGTGAAAATGATGCAAAAATCCTCTAAACAAATGAATCCATAAGCTTCCTTGAAAGGAATGGACAAAGCGATCCATATTGGTTTTACATCAGTGGCTCCGTACCTCCTCCCATCAGAAACAATATGAAGACTTACCACTTTTATTTCTATTACAACAACCCCACCATGTATTTCCTCTTGTATACCTGCAGCTTTACTAGTGCTAGATCCCTACATTTCCCCACAACAAACAGCTGAGAAAGAAATCCAATTTTGTTGCTAAGTGTGCTGTGCAGAAGATGTGACATTTCATCCCTTTGGGGACTAGTTTTCATGGAGGCTAAGGCTTTTACAGAGCCAATGGGCAAATAGCCTGCTTCCCTTTCTTTGTGTGCGGAGAGAAGCAGAGCAGATCAATAAATAACGTTGAATTCATCAGGTAAAGTTGTGATCAATGGAGCCAGAGACACACACGGACACGCATACTGAAGCACCCACATCGATTCTGCTCTTTAATCTGTTTCGCTGAGTTAATTTAATTATTCATCGAGCAGCTGCGATGGAGTCAGTGGAGTCAGGGTTGCGACAGCCTCTGTGAGATAGATATTAACTGTAATGATGCCACTTAATGAGAAAAGTCCTGTTAAGACTTTCTCCGCTTTGTGTTTTCTGTGAAGACCCTCAGGCTCTGTTCATGTGTGACCTGACGCAATATCATGTACAACACACTGACTCAATATAACTGAAGTTTAGTGCTCACTGACTGGCTTTATAAAATTTAAGTTGAAAATACTGAAAGTTATCTTAGAAGTACATGCACAATGTTTCACTTGCTGCTGCTTTATTTTGATAGAAAACACATTTTTGTACTAACAATGTGTTTGAGTAATTGGCTTCGCTCTGCAGCCAGAGGCGCTGCCTTCAGAGGTTTAGAGTCAAAGTAAAGCACGGTCTCTTATGTTGCTTTCTGCTCAGGGCCTGTCTCATTCACTTAGTGCATGTGTGAGCACTAAAATGTGTCTGTCATTTCAGTGCTGCACACCCGTTTGCATGATATGTTTACTCTTCCAGGTGTTCACTCAGTCCTTCACAGCCTCCTATGCCATCTACAATGTGGCGTCTGGGTAGGTAGAATGAGGAATGCTACTGCATGGATGCACTGGGCATGAGACCCATGGACTGTAGACCTGACCCCAGCATCTGAGCATCATGGCGTCAGACATGCATCTCTCATCCGTCTGCTTTGCAGGTCCCACAATAAGGTCTGAAACAGAAGTTAAGTCTTTGCTTGACATCCATGTTCCCCATAGACTCAGTGAAATACTGCTGGAGGAAGATTTTTCTCAATATTTTTAAACCTGGTTTAACGTTTTCAGTAGGACCTGCAGTATTGATCATTGCCTGTAAATGCCTTGAAGGAAAGCGCTTGCCTGTTGAAGACTATAATCTTCTATATAAAAGTGTTGCATGAACCAGCCGTTGTTCTTTAAATGTTGCATCTACACTTCTATACTGGTATTGACCTGGTCCTCTGTTCTCACCTCTGTTATTGTGTGTTTTAGAGAGCTGCAGGATCTGAGGGAGAAGGCCATGCTGCAGTACGCCTCCTGGGGACCACAGGGAAACCAGCTAGTAAACCTCTTTCTCACTTTAAACTCATTTAATTTATGAACAAGATCCTATTTACGCTCTGCATGTTTGAGCGAATTGGAAACAGTTCATTTTGACATTTTCTTAATGACAACATCATTACCTGTCATCATGAACTGGATCTGAACTCAGACCTGATAGTCTTCTGTAATGACTGTTTAACATGAGCTATCATTTATCTGAACCTCCCTGTGCTGTTATTAGCCCCTAGCCCCTGAACATTTAGTGACTGGTGAAATATAAATTGGCTCACTTAGATTCATTCACACTTGAATACCAGAACGGTGTCTGTTGTGATTGATTCTATTAAAAGCCCTGCAAATTATTTCAAACCATGAGTCAGGAACATGTTTTAGTTTGAACTTTTACTCCCAACCACTTAGACCTTTCTGCCACTGTGCACCTGTCTAGGATAGTGTTATGCACTTGTTTCCTTATAGTTCTCCAATCTCTGTTTTACTACGGTACTTGCTTTTTGTGACTTTTGAAAATGCTCCATGACAGACAATCAAGTGTCTGGGATAGTGTCAGTAACAATGTGCTGGATTGGAAAAGGTGACCCGTTTAGTACTTTTGTATTAGTTATTATTCAAGAAAGTCAAATTTTCTTGGTTATTTTACAGCTTTTACTATACAGTGCATGATGTAAAGAGCATTAATCTATAATACATTAAAATCAGGTACAGACCCTTTAATTGTGAATGAAACCAATAATAACCATAAGCACTGTTGTAAAATAATTATCACAACTGTAGAGGCAACAATCTCTGATTTTCTATATTTTTCCAATCAAGATTGAGTTCACACTGCACATTCTAATTGTTTTTGGAGCTCTAAATAGGGTTATTAACACCAAGGACACATAATTGGAGACACCTTCTGTTGTTTGCAGAGGAGATTATATCACAAAAAGCAGCCCTTGAGATTTGCTAATTGCTCCATTAAAATTGCAATTTGGATTTCAATCCAATTGCAATTAACCTTGCAGCCCTAATATAAATAACTTTTTTTAAGTAGCACAAATTCTTTGAGGTAAAAAAATATAAAAGGTCTCATGATGATAACATTTTACACAGTTTTGTTTTAAAGGTGCGCTCTGTAACTTTTCTGATGGAGGGTCTACCAAATGGTTTATTATTTTGCCTGGAATGTTCCACTGTACGCTATATATTTTCTTCCACTTATTCTATTGCAAATGAGCGTGCCTCTCCATCTTACCTATAACTTGGCCAGGTGATTTTCCCTGCGCATCTCCATGTCAATACTTTAATGCCATACTGTGGAGCTTTATGGGCAAGGCAATAACATTTTCATGGAGTCAAGCAGGTGGCAGACCTTCCATGTTTTACTGATCTTCCTACAATAAATTTGACACAGTGACATCCATATTGGCAGAAGAGAGATGTACTGACTCTAACTTTAGTGAGTTGGCCACTGATTCATCCACACTTGGAGTCCAGCCCGTGTTCACAGAAGCAGCCAATGGGAGCCTTTAATTTTCCCATGTTTGATAATGGATTTACCCCTGTCTGTGTCTGTGCCAGGCCTATGTGTTTGAGGGCGATATCTACTACAAACAGAGTGTCACTGCCAGAGCCCTGCGCCTCACCACCACAGAGCCAGAGGAGCACGTGGTCAACGGCCTCTCAGACTGGACCTATGAGGGTAAGAGCAAAACCAGCTAATTTATATAGACACATGGAAAATAATGAAGATTTAATCAGGTTAAAGCTACCACCTTTAACAGTAGATGGCAGACGTGAACCCTGTTCCCGTCTCCTCACCTGGCCTTTGTTCAGGCTCCCTTGTGCTCTCTGGTCTTCTATCAGGCCAAAGATGGCACACTACCAGACAGCAGTAACACAGATAGCATCAAGTAGTGTAATATGGTGTAATGTGAGAATACAACAAGGTCTGGTCAATCCATGTAACTGGAAATGATAGCTTTAAAGAAGACTTATTGTGCTTGTGTCTGCTATAAATTTATAATCTATGACACCCATGGATCATTATCATTAGAGCTGACAAGTCACCCAGGAAGTGTCCAATGGGAGCTAATGTTGTCATAAACGTAAATGCCATGAACAAGAAGGCTTGAAGTTATTGGGATCTCCGATGGATAGCTGCAGATCAAACTAGCTAGCAATAGATTTTTTTTCATTTGTTCCAAAATTACTATGCAAAGCTGCTGAATCACGTGCGTATCATTGATTATGTAAATAAAATTGTAGAACGCTGTGGCTGTGAAAATAGGGATTGATCGGCAAAATGGTATCTGGCGATTAAAGATTGGTCAAACATGAACAAATGACTCCAAATCCAACTTCGGGTTTTAGTCACCTGAAGTGTGTGGAGAAACAACTTGCGTTTTAGTTATGTTTGAGAGAACAGGGTGCAGAGAAAATGGGAAAATGGGAGCTTTGCTGAGAGCTTAAAGGAAATAGAAGAATCTAAATTTAACCGGGACAAATTGTTTCTTTTAGTGTTATTACAAAGTTGCGGGATAATACATAACAATACTTATGACTCATACTCAAACTTACATAAAATGTATGACTAAGTTTTATTTGTTATTGCCGTGTTTACATTTTCTCCGCTTTCTTATCTTTGAATCACTAAATTTAATAAAAGTTTTTTTTCATTGATCCCACAATCTTACACTGTGACTGAACCGCAATCTCCTACATTTACCTCTCAGTAGTATGGTCACCCCTAAAGCCTTTCATATAAACGCACTGCCTCTGTCCTTCATTCTGCCTTTTCAGTTGTGCCCATCCTATCTCCACCACAGCAGCAGATTCATCAGCCTCCTTAGCCTCTCCGTCTCCTTCTCTTCTCCACCACCACCAATGTGTAAGCTCAAGGGAGGAAACAATTTATTTTACAAGTCATACTCTCTCCCTCTAGCATTTGCAGAGATCTCTCTATCTGCATTTTTCATTCATAAAACTGTCCAACATATACCAAGTGATGTCATGTGATGTGATCTTATCCAGTTTAATATAACTGCAAGAACTAAAATTAATTATTTTGAGAATTTTAGTAGCAAAAATAAGTGATTTTAATCCAATCTATACTAAAATATTAATTTTAAGTATTTTAACTGGCTGTTAAATTTTAAATGTACCCAGGAGAATTGACATGAATACAGAAATATGAACTGACAAACAAATTTGTGCCGTTCTAAACTACGGGGTTAGCAGTTTTTATGCAGAATAAGACGGTAAAGTGTTGTTTGTGGAGGAAATGATGGTACTTCAAATGTGCTCTACTGTACTTGACTCTAATGTCTCTACTTCTTGAAATATGCGTGATATGTTGTGTCTTTCTCAAACAGAGGAGATTCTTCTGACATACGCTGCCCACTGGTGGTCTGAAGACGGTGCTCGGCTGGCCTATCTCACCATCAACAACTCTGCCACTCCTGCCATGGAAATACCACACTTTTTAGGCAGTCTTTACCCGTCCAACATCTTTTTCCCTTACCCAAAGGTAGAGACTGATTTGAAAAGATTTGTTTCTGACATGGGATGGTACTTCATATCTTTTTGCTTCACTTTTGCTGACAGGCTGGTTCGAACATCCCATCTGTGAGTCTGTTTGTAGTCAATCTATACGGTCCAGCTCATACCCTGGAGATGTTAGCGCCGGACTCATTCAAATCCAGGTAGCCGACTTCGGGAAAATCTACACTGCAAAAAGATGAATATTTGCTAGAATTAAAATTGCTTACATTCACAATTTTTGTCTTGATTTGAGCTGTTAAAGTAAGTGGTCAAATGGTTGCCAGCTGGTCTACTACTTAAAAGACTTGTACCTGATTTTGAACCATGAGTCTGGAACATGTTTTAGTTTGAACTTTGAGCCTTAGTCCTTTCTGGTGCTGTGCCCCATATTGCACCATAATACAGAAACAACTGTCTGGGATAGTGTCGTGTGATTCTTTGCAGACAGCTCTCCAATCTCAGCTCTAATTTTTTTTTATCACTTTTGATAATGCACCATGACAGAGAATGAAGTATCTCCCATTGTGCAAGTTGTTTCCCAGGAGTTGTATGAAAAGTAATGTAACTCTGACCTGTTGGTAGCTTCTGTATTAGATGCTACATTACAAAATGCTCTGTAAAATGCATAGAATATTTATTAGTGTCTCAATTAATTTCTTATTTAGCTGCTTTTACTATATAATCCATGATGTAAATAGCGTATCTTTGTCTAGAACATATTAAAATCAGGTACAGGCTCTTTTAATCTTATAATATTCTGAATTTGTGCTGTCATTTTGACTTGATTTTTTGCAATGAATTCTACACTTTTAGACTCATGATGTTCAATGCAATCAGACACATGTCTAATCCTCATCTCTTGCATCAACTGCCAGAGTTATACTGCAAGACTATACATACTAAAACCAGTATCAAAACTAGATACGCAATTGAACAACTATCAATAATGAAACAATCCCATATATAGGATAAATTTTCCTGAATAGTTGTTGTCAGTCTACTTCATCTATACTAGAACTAGTATTAAAAACTATTATTTTGTTTGGAAAATTACAGTACAAAATATTGAGCCTTTTCTTTAATATCAAACTTTGAAATTTGAGGTATGTAACATCGCTACTCTCTGCTTTGTTTTTTCAGGGACAGTTACATCTCCATGGTGACGTGGATCAGCAGCACACGTCTGGCCGTTCGTTGGTTAAACCGAGCTCAGAACCAGTCAGTGCTGTGTGTGTGTGAGGCCACCACTGGAGCCTGCTCAGAGGTGAAATACTGACATATGTGGCTTATAATATTCAACCTGGTTTGGACATGGTTAGGTCCATGGCGTGGGGGTCTGCTTCTGCTTGCTGAAATGTTTTATAGTGCACCTTTAACTTGGACTAGACTCAATCACTAAAGAATAAAAAGGACCAAACAAATTCTAAATCTGAACTAAACATAACTGTAAACGCACCCTGAAGAGAGACCTTGTTAATCCTGGTTCGGTTAAAGCTGATTTTAACATTTTAGGGCGCAGTCACACTTCTGTTTATAGTTCAGTTTATATCAAATTTGGGACTAAACTCAGAATTAAATCTGGTGTAGACCACTACTAGAACTTGACCAAAAGAGGTCTTCACCAGGACTAAGCTTAGCTCAAACCAGGAGCAAACCAGGACTAGTGTGAACACACCTTTAATCCTGGCCTAGACCTTGTTATATTTACATTGTCATAACGTAGTCCTGGTTTGTTGTGGTTTAATCCTCAATAAGACTTGCCTTAATCTCTTTTAGATCTGGTTTACCGTAATTCATTGTGTTTCCAGTAAACAGACAAATACTGAGACCCCAACCTCTGAGACCTCCCTGGACAAGTCTAATCCCAGTTAAATTTGTAAAGGCGTTTTGGGAAATCTGCTCTATTTATTCTGTATTGTAAATTGAGATTGATTTTCTACACTGTATCTCACAAGCATGAAAGAGCTCTTCTCCTCGTCTCCTCTCCTCCCAAAGGTTTTCTAAATCTCACCGATACTGGATAAATCAATTTTGATGTATCACTTGGCAAACCATTTTCTGCGTGTATCTAATTAATTGCCCTCTTGCACAAATTGATTATTCACCATGTATTTGTCAATGAGTTCTGTGCCCATCTAACATTCATTCAACATGGGTATGAGATGAGCGACAGTAATGTGTAAAGTAAGAGACTATAAACATAATACTAAATGTCACTGAAAGAATAGAAAACATGTTTTACTTACTTTACTTTTCCCATGTATTTGAGCAAAATCTGTCTTTCCCCAGCACAGATATATTGTATAAGAAACTCTTAGTGTCAAAATATGTCTGCTGCATGCTGTCAGCATATAATTATTTGGAATTTTATTGTGCAGTAATCAGGAAGTGTGTGTTAGGATGCTGGTGGCTTAATTTTGAGAACAAAGCTAACATTTATTTTACAGACCAGAGTAGCAAAAATCTACATGGAAAGTTGTGAAAAGTGCTTAAAACTCATTATGTTGAACAAATAGGATGCCCAGAATGCACGGACTTGTGCAAACTGTTTAAAATGAACTAGTTCTGTTTTTTAAGTTACTTTAATACCAATTAAATCAGCAAAGTACAAGAGACTTTTCTATGGTAGTTAGGTGATCACTTGAAATTATGTTTTTCTTGAAAGTGTGTTTTTTTTTTTTTTTTAAAAAAAAAAAAAAAGAACAAAAAGCAGCTTCTTGCCATTTAAATCATAGCTTGGGTCACAAACTTTCTTATATCTTCAAATCTGCATTTCAGTATGGGAAATAGACAAGAATAATTTCCTTAAATGTTAAAATCTTTACTGACACATTTCAAAATGCCCTCTCTACTGAGTGTTTGCTGAAGTAAAAAACATTAAGTGAAATATATTTTATACCATATTGCAAGTTATGATTGATTTTCTTAAACCTTTAAATCTCCTGGGCTTATATTTAAGGCCATATGTTGCGTGAGACGAATTTTCAGTTATATATCCCAGGATTTGTTCCACATTTTAAAAGTAGAGCATTTTCTTTTTCTTAGTTCCAGTTATCTGTTGAGGCTGTTTTGAATAATTAATAAGAGAGAAAAGCTTTGTTTACACAGTTCTGCAGATGCTGTGTTGAATTCAGTGCTCGACTAATGTTTATTCTATCTCTCAACAGAAACACAAAATGACTATGGATATAATGCAAAACCAACGGCAGGTATGTGTTCATATGTTACTAAAACTAGGCCTGATACTTTGCATCTGATGTGACAAGCATTCTCTCTAAAGTACTCTGTTACTTTAGTTTCATTTGCACTTTGTTTTAATGCAGTCTGGCTATAAAGAACTGACTTGCATGGAACTACAACAGATGCACAGATTTGTACAGTTCACATTATATTCAAAAGCGAGCACACATTAACAGTTTTTCATTTAGGCACTCTCACTTTTTACTATTGAAAATCAAACACCTAAACAGGACCATGAATGCTCATGTTGACCACAGGCTCCTGAAAAACTGTTGTTTAAATCCATTTTGTATTTTACCTTAAGTTTTCAAACAGTTTAAAACCTTTCAGACTGTGTTTGCTAATGTGTGTATTTTGTTACCATGGTAACTGCTGAACATTCCTCCATAGACACACATACAATACCCCGTAGACTAATTTTCTTGTTTGAAGATAGTTTGTCTTCTTATTTAAGAAGATATCTGCTTGAGGATTTAAGAAATTTGCATATTCCCAGTGCAGTTCTTTTTAAACCACCAGCAATTACAACATATTGCACACATAATAAGTAAATAAATCTACTAGGGTTGTTGGCCATTTTTTTATTATTCAACCTTATTATCCTATTAGGATTTTAAGGATTTATATGCACAACAGCAAAAAGGAGAAAGCATAGAGTGAGCATGCCACACCCCCTTTTATCCTATTGATCAATGCACAGGGTATGTTTTTGATCAAACAGAATTTCTTTAATCAACCAGAACCCTAAAATCTACACTAGTTGAAACTAGCCTGTCACAATAATTACTATATTGGCTTATAATTCAATATATGAAAGATGGAACAATAGTTTTTGGAGGTCAACATTTATTCCACTAGTGTGGAACTTTTTTTTTCTGTACTATGATTTAGGGGGTTAAATAAATTAATTCTATTACTTTTATTACTCATTGTCACTTGTCTTTAATTTCATCAGCAATATATAGCACTTCAAAATTTGTTTTTGTGACAGACTTCGTTGAAACTACTCAAATCATGATGCACTGGTTTCAACTTTTGTTCCTAGTTGTAGTGTTTAGTAATTGGCAGCGTTGCAGTTTCTGGTGTTTTGATGTTTGATGTCGCTCTTTCTCTGTCTCTGGCTGCAGGATTTGCCATTGTTCTCCTCAGAGGGCCCTGTGTTTTATACCATCCTTCCAGCCAAACAAGGAGCCAGCGGGGAGTTTCATCACATCGCCAATCTCTCTGCTCAGGTCAGAGTGAAAAAGGAATTGGATTAGCATAATTTCTGGGAAAATGTGAAAAATGTCTTGCCAGAATACGTTGGAAAAATATCTTTAGCATGGGGAAAGATCCTCACAAAGTCCTTAAAATCAAGAAGGAATATTTTGTCTGAATCCCATCGAAGTTTAGCTCGAAGGTGTACTGTGTAAATTTTCTGTTCAGGGATCTGTGACCTGCTTATCTCCATGGAGATGTTATTGCTTTGTCTGAAATGTTCCACAGTATGGCTTTCAACGTAGTTATCTATCACATAGATCACATCTATTTTTTGATTTATCAAAATTCCTCAAAATTGTGAATAACAAGAAACTTAATCCTCTTTAAAGGCCTATAGTGTTTAAATCCATGTTATACTGTTCCCTCATCACAAAAATACCTGAAGAGGTTTTATATGTCATCCATACCTGTTTGAGTAATCTTGTGATCTTTCCTGGTCCAGGCCCTGTTCATAGCCTCCTATGGCAGTCCAGTTCTGTGCTATGCACAATGCTCAGCCCACAAGCCCATGTCATTCATACTCACGCACAGCATTTTTTCACAAGTGTATAAAAGCATGATACAAAACAATACCCTTGACAAACCTGATGCAATGAGCAATAGTTTCATTAGTGGAATGCACGCTAGTTAGTGATAATAATGTGATAGCACTCTAAAGAGGGAGTGACTTTGCACGGGGAGCAAAGGGAGGGGGACTCACAGCTTCAAAAACAACATGAAACTTAAAAATGAAAAATGTTAATATGTTGTTTTCAGCAAATATAGCATTTTCAAAGCATTAAAAGGTAATGGTGATCTAAATATGTTATGAGATACTTCATTGAAATTGTTCCCCTCTTTAATTTGGGAACCAATAAAATAAAAGTAAAATTGTATTCATGCTGATTTTGGTGTGTGGTTGAACTGAATGCTCTGAATGAGGATAGGGCATATCAAACAAAATACAAATAACATAATATTGATACTGGAAAATTAGCAGGGTTCTGTCCAATTCCAAGAGAGGGACTTCATCACATCACATTAAAGTACTTTTATTAATCTGAGCTAAATTATCCCACTTATGCAGCAATACCATATTTGCATATTGCATATTTGTCTTTTTTACAGAATTGGCATAAAAACGCAAGTGTATTCAACATCTTATTAATAATAAAAAGAGAGGCTGCTTAAACATTCTCTTTGGATAACTTCAAATTAAAAATAAATAAAAGCATCCTGCATCTCCTATTGTCACTGTTTATTAATCAGGCTCCTGGTATTGTTGAAATATATTGTTTTATTTTTTGTCACTCTTCTATGTGTGAATTCAAGGTGCACTATGTAAGTTTTCTGATGAGCTGCCTGCCACCCATTTTTCTGTTATTTATTTATTTGACTGTTTCACAGAATGGCAGCAACTGTGTCTGCCTTGCATTTATTTAATTACAGTCATTAAAAGTCGATAAAATTGAAAATAAAATTGACTGCATTGTTATTGTGAACTGACTTGCCTCTTCACAGATCTTAACCATAACTAAGCCTGGTGGCGCCATGTCTTCATCAAGACAGATACATTTAATGCCACTGTGGAACATTCCAGGCACAGCATTAGAGGATGGGAGACACTCCAGCAAAAAAAAAAAGCATTTCAAAATGCACTAATTGCAGTTAATAATAGATTTTTTTCAGTATCACATTACATAAATTTGTATTGTATTTGTCATTTGTATTGTTTTCTTGTGATTTCAAAATATTTGTATATATTTATTTTTTTCAATGCTTTTTCCATCAGATTTTTTAATTCATTTTATTTATTTATATTAAATTCATTATTATTTATCAGAACAGTGTACAATTACATTAAGCATAAGAGCAGAGATCCTTGAACCAGACAGTACCTTGACATTCCATCTGTAGGTCTTGGGGGGAGGGGTAATCGTGTAATATATACAGTAATACTTTCAACTCTTGCATCATTATCATCATCAAAATTTTGGCTAATCCCAGAACTAAACTTGGACTAGACAAGAACTAAAACTGAGTCTACATCAGGACTAAACCAGGATCAAACACAACCTAAGATTACTTTTTTTTTTCACATTTCCCCTGCCCTGGTTACTATGCTGTTTGCTGTCCTCTCACACACACTTTCCATATTACTATTTTTATTCAGGGCCTGTCTTGACTCTCATCTTTCTTCTCTATGTTACTCAGCCTGTCACCCCGACTGTACCACCGAGATTTCTGACATCGGGGAACTGGGATGTCACCTCCCTGTGCGCTTTGGACGAGAAGGCTGCAAAAATGTATGTGAAAGACCAGTCACCCTCCATTTCACAAAAACTGCATCCAAACTGCATTGGACAAGCGAGTAGAAAACTGAATATAGTGGTGGCTAGCATTTAAAAGCATAATTTTAAAACCAAAAACCTGTTAGATGCAAAAGATTATGTAAAGTTAAAACTATGTATGCAAAAGTATGCAAGACCAGTCACGCTCCTGCTCCATGAACCACTTCTTACCAAAATTGGACAAGCGAGTGTGGAAAGCTTAATGCAGTGCAGCTACCATTAAAACGGGCTGTATTACGCTGTTTTTTGCTCTAGATAGACAGATGCTTAATCGACCCCAAAGGAAATTCAGATGATTTGATGTTGTTTCTCCTTAAAAACTTACCAAGAGTTTTGTTTTGTTTCATTCACACATGTTTAACACATAACACACATTTGTACACTGAGTTCTTCTCACAAACTGAAAACACTCCACCTTGCGATGTCATGTGATAATACAAGAAGTGCTCCACTGTGTTTTTAAACTCCATACACCTTCATTAGAATCATTTGGATTATTTCAGAAATAGCTGATCAGGTAGCTGTTAACTTGTAAACTGCCACTACATTTGGTTTATTAAGTGAATGGCATGGCATTTTGTATATGACATTACAATCCCATGCCAGTTATGTCATAAAACATATACGTGAAACAGGGAAAATTTTCAGCATATTCAAAAAAGAACACAAAGCAGAATGTGAGACGGAATTAATAGGGGCAAGTACAAGAGTGACACAGAAAAAACCCTCTGGTTCGAGGTGCCAAATGAGGAATCTAACGAGGAGATTTACATCTGGCAACTCACCTCAAGAATTAACTCATGATGAGGAGACCCAAGAAGAGTCTTAAGACTTATAAGCAGCATAAAGATATAAAAAAATTAAGAAAAAAAGATGGAGTGTATGTTTTGGTTTTACCCAGATCTTAAGTAACTGCTACTAAATACTAAATCAAAAATTTTTTGTTACTACACTGTATATATGGTGTTTACTTTCATAGTCCTTTTTTTTTTGGCAACTTTAGTGAAACTTTAGTGTAAATTTGCACTTTTGTGTCCAAGAACAGCCAAAAACTGAGTGTGAGCTACATCCTGTGGCCACTGTGATTTCAAGTACTATGTGACATCACACAGCACTGCCTTGATTACAGCCAGGTGTTTAGATTCAACAAAGTTTTAAGTGTGGATACACATTAGACTTGTTCCTTATACCTCTAGACTTTCCTGCTCACATTCTGCTTTCTGTTCTATTTTGCGTGCTGAAAGCTCTTCCTGTTTCATCTATATGACATCGCAAGAGGGAAGCATTTTAAACTTTGGAGATGTATATAAACTAAGGGTTACTCAACCATGTGTGAATGACGCAAAACACAATAGGTTATGTTTCTCTCTATAGTATATAAGGTTAATGTGAAAGCAAAATCCACAAAGGAAAGTATATGGTTAAAATAGCTCAGTTGCAAAAAATTAAGGTTTAGAATAACACAACAACATGCTAGACCTGTCAGTCTCTAGCACCATCAACTCAAAAACTACACCCAAGATTGGACAAGCGGGTGCAGAATGCAGTGCACTGTATGCACGTTTAAAAGTTGTAATTTTAAAAAGCAAAATCCACTTTCAGATGTACCTGTTAGACGCAAAAGATTATGGTTAAGGTTTGAAGAAAGTTATTCTAAAGCTAGATCCACAAAGGAAAGTATTCATGGTCACAATAGCTCAGTTGCTCTATAAAAAATACAGTTTAGAATATAAAAAAAAATAAAATAGTATGGATAAAAACAGCTCTTTAAGGGTATATAAGATTTCTGTATTAGGGGAGCAACAGTGAAGGTCTCATTTAAGGTGTTGGCAATTATATGGTTTGTTTTTAAGTTAAAAGCCACATGTTGAAAGCAAATAAGTGCAGATTGCCCAAGGCAGCTGTAGTTACAATAGTAGTTTGCCACCATCAAGTGTGGAGTGAATGAATAATGAACTGCAAAGCACTTTATCTTGAAAGGAGTGCTATAAATCCAATGCATTATAACAATTTTCTTAATTAGAACTTAAAAATCTACTCAAGTGACTGTAAAGCACCAACAGGGCCAGTGGTTGGAAAGTGGCTTAATGAACTGATTACTGTCATACACTTGGAAAAACTGCGCTTTTTGAGTGAGACGTGAACCCTTATTGATTAAGTTGAAATCTGTATTTAACCATGGTCAAACATTAAACAGCAAAACAGAGATAAGGTCTTCAAAGGGTCTCTAGTGAGTCAGAATAAAGGATGAAAACAGTCATGTCCACTAATACTAATAAAGGTTTTGTTTTATATCTTTAATTTCCCCTCTTTTGCTGTAAACCTTTGATAAAATAAATGGACTCAGATCTGCACCACTACAGCCCACTATTTTTAGATCAGTTATCAAATCCCAATGCTCTACCCATGCTTCCTTACCATATTAATTAAACAGTTATTGTCATCTAATTATAAAAATCAATTCCTGCCATAGGACCATACCCAAGCAGCAAATCACTCCTCAGTCCATTAAAATGCTGAAATATGTAAAACTGTTCCTTTCTTCCTTATAAATAATTCATGCTTTGGATAATTACGGTGAACTCTCAACACCCCGAGGTATTGCCATGTTGACTAACTTGTTGTGTATCTGTTTTTCAGTTATTTTCTGAGCACAGAGGAGTCCCGGCAGAGTAGACATCTGTACAGGTAAACATTTAGCTGTCAGCTTGTTTTTCATGTGTCAAAACCAAAACAAGAGACATCAGACAGTGTAGGTATAATACTTTGTCTCTCTTTTTTTAGTCCTTCATTCTCTCCCTCATTCCTATCCATATCCATATCTCACTCTATTCTTACCTTTATTTCTCACTCTATCATTCTCTCTATCATCTCTCTTTCTTTATTTCCCTCCTACTCACCTCTGTCCTTCTACCCCGCCTCTCTCTCGCCATCCTTCCCATCATCTCACTACTCTTCTTGCCCACCCTAGCTGTACCCCTCCCTCTCTCTGTCTTTCTCTCCCTCTGTCCGCTCTCTATTTTGTTTCACTTGTCAATCACTTGTCAGTCTCTTGCTCTGCATCCTTGCCTCCCTCCTTCCCTCTCTCTCATCTATCTTTTTCAGTCTTGTTCCACCCTTACCCCTCTCTCATTCTTTTCCTGTCTTTCTCTCCACCCCTCTCTTTTGCTCTGTCACTCACTCTCTCTGTCCCTTCTCCCTCTCTCCCCTCGTTTTCTCTCATCTCTCCTGCTCCCTCTCCTTCTTCTGCCCCCTGTTTCTCTCTATCCCTCACTCTGCTTTCTTTTTCCTTCTGTCTCTCACTCTATCCTTATCCCTGTCTTCCTCTCTATATTCCCTCGCTTTTGAACTCTCCCTCTCCTCCCTCTCTTACATTTCTCTGTTCCTCTTCCCTCACTCTGACCTCTCCTTCTGTCTCTCTCTCCTTCCTCCCTCTCCTTATACTTCCCTTCCTCTCTTGCTCTGTTTCTTTACCCCCTCCCTTGCTCTCCATCGCTCCCTGTCTTTCTATTCCTCCTTTACTTTCTCCCTTTCTCCATCTCTCGCCCTCTCTGTCTCTTTTCCTCTATCATTTTTTTCTTCCTATCCTCTTTCTTATTCTACCCTTTCACCCGTCCCTCTCTCTCTCTTTCTACCCTTCCATTACCTCTGTGTCTTTCTCTCCCCTATTTTCCTCTCTCTCCCGCGTGCCCTTTCTTCTCCTCTCCATATCTTGCTCTATCCTTCCCTTTCTTTCTTTCTTTCTCTCTCTCTCTCTCTCTCTCTCTCTTCCTCTATCCTTCCCTCTCATTCCCACCTCTATCCTTCTATCCATCCCCCTCTCTCTCCATCCTTCCCGTCATCTCATTATCCTTCTTTTCCACCTTAGCTGCACCCCTCTCTCTCTCTTTCTTTCTTCTCCCCCTCTTTCTCTCATACTCTTTGTGGTCTAAACTAAAGCTGAGCGCACATTAATGTAGTCATTTGTTTTCCACTGCGTTCCATACGCTTCCAGCTAAATTCCTAATTGACACATTTATAACAGAAAATGCTATGCCAGTGTGGTCAGGAAAACCTAATGTCTTTTACGTAATATACTCACTTGTCTTCTCCTGACACAGTCTCCAATTCATTCTTACATTTATTCACACATTGTCAATATGGGACTTAATATTGTTAGAAGAATCCTCATCTTTGCCCTCTGGTTAATTTGTAATGTTATAAAAAGCATTACATTTTTATAACACAGCAATCTATCTACTGGCCTAATGTCTAAGCATATGAAAATATATTTACTCCAAATAACAACCATGTACTGTAGATTATTTAAATCTTTAGATAATGATAAATAAAGATGAAACCACATAAAATCCCATTGTAAAGCTGGGTCATGGCTAGCTCACTGTAGTTATTCGTTTATTCACAATTATAGAAGATATGTTCACTGTATTACCGCAGCCTTAGATCCTCAGGAGGGTCCCTGTTAACTGTTTCAAAGTTGACGAAGGATGGACGAAGGGTGATCAAGCCTTTTCAGTCCAATCACCTTGGCTTTGTATTAACCTGTCTGAGGAAATAAAGCTATATATAAGGGTATCATCTTTTAAATCACTTCTTAAAATCCTGCTTTTAAAACATGTCTTCCAAATCTAATTTCAATCGCAACATTTTTCAGAAAATTTGCCATTAGATTTTTTTCCATATTTCAAAAATTTGTTACATTTAGGTCTATGCAGATCTAACACTTTAGCTGCCATATGTTCACAGATGAAATGAATTGTTTTGTATGTCTATGGAAAGCATTATTGTCAAATCAATACTAACTTAATGTTGTAAGTAAATGGACAAATAAATAGTTTGCTGTTTGTCTTACTATGACAATGCTTTTAAACAATACACTAAACACTGCATTTAAGACCACAAACTAGCCATTTAATTTTGCATGGGTTCACAGATAAATATAGTTATGTTTTTTGCTCTTGCTTTATCACAGAATTGTCTTATTGTTACTTCCCTGACAAGCAATTATAACTGCTTGTATGTTATTTTTAGTGTGGAGTTGGACGGCGTGTTTCAGAGACAGTGCATCACGTGTAAACTGATCGATGGATGTCAGTTCTTCAAAGCTGTGTTCAGTCCAAACAACACTCACTTCATCCTCTACTGCCTCGGTAAGTGATTAAAAATAAAGAATATTGATCTATATATTAAAGTAAGATTTTATTTGAAATTTACCTGTGAACTATAAACTGTGATTATAAATATGTTTCAAAATAAATTTACAGTGCAAATATACACTTTCGATTGATTTATATACTGTATGTTAAAGTTTCTATAATACAAAATACATAATACAAAATTGTTTACCTACTGAAAAACATACCTGGAGTTGTGTATTGTTTCATTCACATGTGTTTGAGTAATCAAGGATTATTAGTCTATCTGCATCTCCAAAACTCAAAATGCTCTTTTGCACCTTGTGATGTCATGAAACTGTATTTTCAGATTAAAAACTTCCTTTCACCTTTTCTTCACTAGAGATTGGCAATTCCAGGGATGAAATCATCCAAATTATTCTAGTGGTGTTTGGAGTTTAAAAACAGTGGATCAGTTCTTTTATTATCACATGACATCACAACGTGGAACATAGTGTCTTCTGTTTGAGAGAATAATTAATATTGCAGGATTTGTGTGTTAAATATGTGTGTATAAAACAAAACACAACTCCAGGTATGTTTGTGATGAGGAAACAACATTATAAGGTACATCAGAAAAAAGAGTAATATGGGCCCTTTAACTCCGGGTGGGTCAAGACATAACTGATGAGATGAGACAGGTGATTGGGTCTTTGAGTACGAAACAGGATGAGATTTTGGCAGAATTTGTTAAGAATTAACAGAATTAAATTGTGCAATCCTGTTCACAATTTTGCCCTAATATTTTTTTATTTATTTCATTTAGTATTGTCTTAATACTACAGCTTCGCAAGGAGATGTAACTCACAACTGCGTATCCATTTTTTGTTGAATCCAAATGTAAATACATGGGGAAAAAATATCTCACAAAATCATTCTCCCCATGTGTGCACAATCTTGTGGGAATTTTGTCTCATGAAATCTTGCTCCATCCCTAATGTTTACTTATTGGCCACCTTACTGTTTCAGCAAAAACAACTTACAACATCAGAGTTCATACAAGAGTATTTACATTAATTATTAAAAAAAAAAAATTCATAATTATTACAGGCAAGTATTTCACCAAATATATTTATAACTATACAGAGGATAAGATATACTTTGTCAGAGTTGTTTTTCTCACACAGGTCCAGGGATTCCAAGAGTGACAGTTCATAACACCAAAGACCCCTCCAGTGAGTCTCTCTTGTCTCTTCTATAATGAACTGCAGTTTCTTATGACAGCCTGCAGAGGGAGGTACAGTTACAGATTGGACCAGAATGTACTATGAATAAACACTGCCCCCTGCTGTTTTCATAGACTTGCAACTGCTGCCTGGTTTTTACAATCATGTCCAGAGTAAAAATGTATATTTGAAAAAGGAGTTCGTTTTCTGTTTTCTGTTGATGAGTGATTGATTTTTCTATTTTGATGATTAAGTAGTTCATTTGCTCTTTTTAGAATAGTTGTTTAATTTAGCACTGTGCATTATCCATCCAGGTTTAAAATTTCAATTATATAGATTTAAACTTTTAAGTAATGATTTTGTGTTTTGTTGACAATACAAAACAACCCACACTTTTATTTTTATCAAATTATTATTCAATGTTATATTTAACAGTGTACTTCAAGTTATATTTTAGCATTTGATGCATTGGGAACTTTCTGTAACTTTAACAACCTCACAGATATTTGCACTGTGAACAACGGGCCCTTTCTCTTGCAGGATATGTGTTGTTGGAAGATAACAGCCCACTGGCTAAAGCTCTGGAAGACAAACACCTCCCTGAGACTGTGTTCAAGACCATCTCAACAGAAAACAATGGTATATAAGACATTTATTAATACTTTGAAGTCACATCACCCTGGGGATGTTCTACATGTATGTGTATGATGGAATGTTCATCAGTTACCATGGTGACATAATGCACACATTAGCAAACACTGCCAAAAATAGTTTTAAGATTGCTGGAAAACTCAATAAAAAATACAAAATAGATTTAAACAACACGTTGTCAGGAGTCTGTGATCAATGGGAGCGTTCATAGTCCTGTTTGATTTTAAATAAAAAGAAGTGAGTGACTAACTGGAAAACCTTTTGGCTAATGCTAGCTAGCTTGTGACTGTATGTTATTTGTTTAACAGCATAAAACAGCTCACCTGTTGTAGTTCCAGCTAAGTCAGTTCTTTCTGGTCAGATTCCCTTAAAACAAAGCTGAGATGAAAGTCTAACATGCATAGCAGAGCTTCAGATCAGTGTCTATATTTAGCATCATACTTCCAGGGAATGTTGATGACATCCTCTGCAAAGTATCACTTAAGAAACATTGAAAAGTTTACATTCTTTCAATGTTATTCAGCAGGCATGCATATTGTGTTACCCACATGTTGAAGTTTTGCATGTTTGTTGTATTCATAAATTGCATTACCTAATTTATAAGCTAAGTTTACTAATAAATATTTCTTTTTTTTAGTTCTTCATCTAAAGTTGTCTCTACCTCAAGGATATGAAGCCAATCTTTACCCACTCCTCATAATGGTGTAAGTGTCACTGAACAAACGTACAATTTAATCAGATGATTGTGCAATATATCAGGTGTTTGGAGCCAAAAAAGCTTGCTAAAAATCATCACTGCAAAAGTGCTACATTGAATAAAATGTATTTCCCCTTGTAGTGGTCACACACTAGAGTTGCACTAGATATCTAAATCAAGATTGCAATTTGAGCAGACACAATGACAAAATCACAAATACTACAATTACTGAGTTAATAGAACAAAACAATTAAACATTCTGTCTTATTTTTAACTGCTAACCCTTTGTTTTGTAGTTTTTAGACCTCTACAAACATGTTCTAAAATACATAGAAGTCTTGTATTTGTTTATCAGATCATATTTCTCAAGTGCTGATGCTCCTTGAGTTGATTTTATGTACTCTCTGAACAGTATCGTACTTTTTAAACATAAATTGTACATTAAATACAGAGTTAGATTTTTCCAAAATTGTGCAGGCCTTACACAAACCCAGCCTTATTCAGCTTTACCTCCCCCATCCACATAGTGTGTTTTAAGATCTTGTTCTGGCTCTTCCTCTTTTTCAGAGACAGTGTTCCCGGGAGCGAATGGGTCACAGAGGAGTTTGAGGTCGCATGGCCACAGGTGCTGCTTAGTGCACACAGCGTGGCCTTGGCCTGGGTGGAGGGCCGGAGCGTCAGGGGGCAGAAGACCACTGCAGCAGACCCTCGCAAGATCGGATCACTCAGAGTCAAAGACCACCTGGCTGCAGTAGAGTCAGTACAGTTATATGCACTGTCCTCTGCTAATACTGGTACCCCTGATATAATATGTGGCAATTTATTAGCAACTGGGGTAACTTTCTGGAGGTAGCAAGTCACCTGCATGACTTGCTACCTCCTTGCTCCCTGCTTGAGTTCATGGGAATAGAAAATGAAAACCCTACTTTGAAACACTGATACATTTAAAACGTATGTGTTAATTCTGAAGAAATACATGTATTAAGAGAGGGAGTTTCTAGAGGGAGTTGTGCCACTTGCCTATCTCCATGCAAATGTAATCACTTTGCCTGGAATGTTACACAGTATGGCATGACATGTATCTATCTTGCATTTATTTATACTAGTGTTTTATTGCTAATAGTAATAAATGCATAAAAACAATGAATTTTCTCTGTAAGTGGGCTTAACTTTCTACAGATCTACTGTTCTGTCAAACATTCCAGGCAAAAGAGTAACATCTCTATGAAGTCAAGCATTTTGCAGGCTCTTCATCAGAAAAGTGCTTAAAGCTTTAAAGTCAGTCTTTAATTTTGTGAGTGTAGTTTGAAGTTTGTGATCAAGTAGTGATTCTATGGTCATTAAGTGCCTTTTGCAGCCTGTTTCAAAGCACATTAAGCATTGTACTCTTCATAATTATTGCCCTGATGTTTAAAAATCCTGGTTTGAACTTGTCTCTAGACACTATGGTTAGTAGAATACAAAAACACTTGTTACGATGTAGAGTGAAACTAAACTATCTTTTTATTATCTTTTATTTTATATCTCATGTTTATCAAGGAGCACCCTTGATAGCAGAGGACAGCACAATTTCAAAGCAATTAAAATGTGTTGCAGATACTTAGAAGAAAGAGCAGGCTTTTACAGTTCTACATTTTCCTGTTTATGTTCTGTTGGCAGGTGGCTAATGCAGCTTCCATTTATCGACGATCGCAGAATGGCCCTCTATGGAAAGGTTACACAACACAATTGTTGAAGTAGTTTGTTTTGGTTTGCATGACAAGGTTATAGGGGCACTGTATAACTTTTCTGGAGAGGGGTTTGTCATCTGCTTGTCTCATGAAAATCTTATTGCTTTGTCTGTAATAAAAACAATATTGTGTATGTTGTCACACATCATCAGATGTTTCTATAAACAAATGCAGATTTTAAGATGGGGGGGCTGTTGTTTTTTTTATTTTGCTGAACATATTAGGCAAAACAATTCACCAGAAATGTCTCATAGTGACCCTTCAAAGTGTGACTTTTGAGTAATATTTTCCATTATATCTTACCCCCAGGCATTTGGTGGTTATTTAACTCTAAAGATGTTAGCTGCCACAGATAATCTGTTTCAGTGCGCCGCGGCAGTCGCTCCGATCACAGACTTCAGACTCTACAGTGAGTAAAGCTGAGAACCATTTGCTGTTTATTACTACACTAAAGTGTAAAGTGACGTAGTTTGTGGACAATAGCATTGATTTGTGTTTCAGGTGCAGCCTTTTCAGAGCGATATTTGGGTCTGCCTGCAAAAGAAGAGCATGCTTATTCAGTAAGAATCTACTTCTCTCTCTTCTCTCTGATAAACTAGTATGAGAGTCCCATGCACTTCAGAATATCTTTTTAAGATGTAGACCACAGTACAACAGGATGATTCTATAAAATATAAATGACTGCAGCTGTAGCGATTTGATAATTGCACAACTTCAAATTGTGATTCTCATACGATATATTGTGCAGAACTATATCACACAATTCATTCTTTCATGATGATGGAGCTAGGTTCATTGCATCTCTGATCTGGTATATACTAGTAGTAAAAAGTGAATTAGTAACCATCAGTAGGTTGAGTTTCTGTTTTAATTGCCTGGCGATGTTTATCTATTAGACTTCAACCAGTTAAAGGAAAAATATGGCAATAAATACCCTATGGCCCTACTATGGCACATAGTATCTATGTGTCATAGTAGATTCATGTTTCAGATAACAATTAATGTTTATTAAAATAGTCAACAAATTCCAGTAGGCAGTTAGTTACACATATTTTAGATGATTTATGCCTGTACTTATTTTACTTGAATGAAAATATCAAATTTATTTCTTTGCAGATGGCATCATTGCTAGGGGAGATAAACAAACTGAAAGATGAGAATTTCCTTATAGTTCACGGAACAGCAGATGGTAAAATTGTTATGTTCTGCAATATTCATATGAAAATGATTATAAATACTGATATATAAACAAATTATACAATATATTTCAGCCAGGGTCCACTTCCAGCACAGTGCAGAGCTGCTGAGTCGCCTGGTAAAGGTAGAAGCCAACTACTCTCTGCAGCTGTACCCAGATGAGGGCCACGTCCTGAAGGATCCTCGGAGCATCGTCCACTTCCAGAGGACGATGGTGAACTACCTGCACACTTGTCTGCAGCACAGCATCTACCCAGAGCCAGAGGAGGAAGAAGAGGAGGAAGATGACTAAATGTTATCCTTAAAACATTGGACTGAATGAATCTTATGCACGGCCTCTGGGTCAGATCATAGGCACAACAGCACAGGACTGGGGACCAAACAAACATGAATAGTAGTACATCCAAACAAAATGCTTTCCTATGAACCACACGATTACTTAAGCTGTGAGGAACGCCTCGGCCAAATAAACTATGGGTCACTGATTCTACAAAAGTTTACATTTAGAACATGCATGTCATACTGGCTGCATGATGTGGAATAGTTTACAATGAGTTATGTTTCTTTCCTTCATCAGGGTTACATGTGCACAAATCTGCCAATAAAGACACTTGAAGATTTTTTACAACCTATGTTCATCAAAACCCTGTTGTCTCTTTTTACCATTGACTGACACAGCTAGGCTCTTTTGGGATGTGAACCATGTTACTCTCCAGTCTGTAGGAAAGACAAAACTCACTTGTTTAACTGGTTACTATACCAGTTTTTCACAATGTGTGCCCCCCCCCCCCAGTTTCAGAAGTTGGTTAATTATTTCTTAAAAGTATATTTTAAAATGTGCCAAATGCACTTTTGTGCACTTTATTCTCATACATGCATAAAATGTCCAAATGAGAATGATGTATTCTGCCAGAGTCAGACTGATGTAGTACAAACTAATGCATTATACTGTATCTTTATTTAAATGTATGTGGGTGATGTTTGCTTTTGATAAATACATTTCTGTTGTAGTTACGTTCAAAAGACTGTACAGAAACTGCATGTTGCTGTTTTGAAAATGGCCATGAGTCTTGAGAACAAAGTCAGCATTTTTCCCAGAACCTGTATAATAAAGAGTTCCTCTTGTTTTGCAAAAGCTTTTGTTTCTGAGAACCTTCTGGTACATTTTTGTGATTTATAAAGAATTTGGTTGCTCTTTGTTTGTATTAATGAGATGCATTTACTTGAGAAAATAGGTCTTTGTTTCTTTGCCATTTTATGACACTATATTTGACTAATAGCATTTTAAAGTAACAATAACCTGCTTTTAGCTGAGCAAAATCAACAAACACAAAGCGTAAAAACAGCTTTCAAAGTTCAGTATAGTAATCTATTCTGAATAATAATAATAATAATAATTATTATTATTATTATTATTATTATTATTTTAAAGTACTTAAGTAGCCTAACAATTTGTTCTACTCTAGCCACCTCCGACGACCCTATGCACTTTTTTTTTTACAGTATTATGTCTATGTGACTTGACCTGTCCCTCAAACACCTACCACCACACATGACACGGAGGGCGGGACATCATGTGCCTCGACGCTGATTCAGCCAATCACAACTCGTTTTGTCAGTCTTACGTCCGCGCTCTGGACCAATCAGCGCCGAGGCAACGTACGGGCCCCAATCCCTCTTCAACCTTCTTCTTCTGGAGGGGCACCTTCAACCCAGCTTCGCGGTGCACGGGCAGCGGCTTCATAAGTTGTAAAGAAACACTTCAAATATCACTACCCCTCTGCCACGATGTCCTTTCTCAGTATCAGCCGGCTAGCACCCAAAATCCTCGCTTCCAAGGTAAGAGGATGATAAATTGCACGGATATTCGCTCCAGAAATGGTCTTGAAGTGAACCCGAGCTAACGCTGTTACAGTGGCTAACAGCGTAGCATGTTAGCTTAGCATTAGCTTCCACACACATTGTGAAATGCTATGGCTAATAATTGATGAGCGATTTAAGACTAGTTCATCTATTCACCGCGTTTATAAACCATAATCTATTCTGTTTGGAATTTGGAAGTTTAATTCACAACAATAACTGTATAGTAATTGTTATTTAAGATGGCCTTGTTTTGCAATCATGTATATTTTACTTAATGAAGTTGTCTGGAACAACTAATAAAAGCGGAAAAAAACTGGCATGTCTTAGCCTCGCCCCAAAAATATTCAATACATACCTCGGATTGTTCCTCATTGCAGAACTAGCATGGTTACTCTTGTCTATTCCACGCTACATGACCTTCAAATGCATTCAAAACACTAGTCAAATCACTAAACATTGCCTCTTTAAAACACATTTTGTACATGTTAGATGATCTACGGTCTCATTGTAGCTATTTGATTTGATCTGCAAATATTGTAAACAAAAGGTACTCTTTGTTCAGAACCTTGTCAAACTGCATTTTCAAGTTGTTTTATTGTAAAGGTGCATAGATACAGCTTTTTAGCTTAACAAATATGCAAGGCGTTTCATTAGTGGAATAATTAATTAATTGTCATTAATCAGAAATATTATATGCCCATTGATATTGATGTATAGCATGCACTACTACTATGAACTGTAACCTTGAATGACCAAAAGCTATTGTCTTCTTACCCTAGTGACCCTTTAACCTAGACACTCAATAAGTACTTTATATAATTACTTGAACTCTGAGGGAGCGCAAAGGAGTCATTTGTTTATCTTATCAATATTTAAATTAGAATTGGCATATGTAACCAGTGTCACTCTCTCCTGTGCTTATCAGTTCAGTCTTTGCTCAGTCAGGGTCCTTATTTGGAACATGGTCTAAATTGCATAACATAGATCATAAATTGCCTTAGTGTGTTGTCTTGTAATAAAACTGTGACCCTTACCTTAGCTGATCCCAAATGAGTAATAAATGCAGCAATTTACAGTGGTTCTAGACTTGTTGTTACACTGTATTTTTTTTGTTTGTTTGTTTGTTTGTTTTGTTTTTCATCAGTTTGTGAAAAATACTTATTTTTAGACTTAAACAAAGTTAAATGGCGGTGTAACCTCTTACGGGTCAATGACCTTTTCGAAGCTCAAACTACTTTTGTTTCTATCTCAAGAAAGTAGGGCTGCTACTAACGATTAATTTTGTAGTTAACTAGTCAGCAATTATTTCTATTGCACATTGAGATCTTTTTCAATAAAGATCTAACCTTAATTAAATAAAAGTGACTGGAGGGGTGTAGATTTATGAATTGAAGTGTATTATTGAGGATCAATCAGAAATTGTTTATTATTATTATTATTCCTTTGTCAGATAATGTGTTGACAGTATAAATAATATTTTTTGTCCACTATTTGTCACCATTTAGCAGTACCCTACACTATACATTGACTTTGACATCTGACATTCCCTAACGTTTCCTACATGTATGAGGACATTTTAATTACACATGCTAATTAAATATGCTACTTACCTAGACAGACCTTGGCGACACCTGTGTATTGGTGACTGTAGGGCTTAACTTCAAACACTTCTAATTAGCAGAAACTTTGCTGTGCAGCAGATGGTGAATGAATGAATCAACAGAGTTGGTGCTATTTAAAAAGGAGCTGTTATGTAATGAGGTCTGAAGAGTCATGTGTGCAACCGAAAGCTATAGGAAGGGCCCTTTGTTTGAATGGGGCCTGTCAGGTCTGTCTGAAGACTGGGGAGGGGTTTTTGTTGGCTTTGGGGCAGCTGGACAATCCTGTTTTAGGCACAGCAGGGTCCCAAGCTCTTGTCACTGCTGTCCTTTAGGATTAAGACACAATCAGATGAGATAGACAGGTACAGTGGAGTAGGCCTGAGCCTGATTTATGGACTGACTCACTGCAGCGTATAGTAAACTCAGGGACTCTAAATTGTTCTCATTTCTCCTTTAAGTCCTTATGCCAAGTAGTTTAATATAATTGAAAGCTATTTTAATTTTGTTGGCAAGGGAACACAAAATTGCGTTTCTTATTGTTTTCATTTATCTTTACAGAATGCTGCTTACATCCTTGTGGCTGCCAGAAATGCCAGCGCATCAACAACAGTAAGTTAAAAAAAATATGTGAAAGTCTGTTTGTACTTTTTAAATCATCTGCATTTTCAAAGTGAATGTGTAATTTATATTGCTTATTGTAAACTGGTTAAGAAATTGTAGTTAACTGTTTAACAAATATATCATTGCCGCTTAGCAAAATCCAAATTCCCCTCGTCTATTTTCTTAAGGTCCTTTATTAGTCAAAATTTACTCTGGTGAGCCATGTTATGTTATTACCTCATTAAAGATATACCTGAAATTGTTTTGTGTCATATACTATACTCCACCTTGTGATGTCATGTGGTGGTAGTTTTCAAGTTAACAGCTACCTTTTATCTTTGGTCCAGTAGAGACTGGCGATCACAGGGCTGAAATCATCCAAATTATTCTAGTGAAGGTGTTTGGAACACAAAGCACTTCCTGTCTTACCACTTGACATCACACAGTGGAACAGAGTGTTTTTGCATTTGACAGAGGAACTCAGCATAAATATTCGGGGTTTGTGTGTTAAGCACGTGTGAATGAAATAAAACACAACTCCAGATATGTTTTGATGAAGAAACAACATTATAACATAAATCAGAAAATAGCTTTTTAATGAAGAAAGAACCAGTTTTAGTTAGCCTAACAAAATAGATGAAATATCTACAATGTAAACACAACAATTAAACCAACATTGGTGCTAATGTTTGTTTTAATTTGCTGATTTTCATAGAAAGATAACCTATTGTAATAGAAATCACTAATTATTACTTCATAATGTATTCTTTTCCTCAGAATCTAAAGGATGTTCTGGCTGACCTTATCCCCAAAGAACAGAACAGGATCAAGAACTTTAAACAGCAGTATGGCAAAACAAACATCGGCCAAATCACTGTTGATATGGTGAGCAATAACAGCAGTAAACTGTGTCACATGTAACATGTAACAGGCCCTTTGACCTGAAACCATATCTGAGGTTTTTCAGTACTTTATACATGCTTTTTCCATGTGTTTGAATTACCTGGCTATTGGCCATTTTGAGTGAGACAGTTTGAGGAGAGTAGCTCAAGAGGGCTGTGCAGTCACATTTTGAGCAGTTATCAGTTTGCGTTAGTGTTCAAATAAAGCTTTGTGTGTACTCTTTAGGTAGCCTGATTCATCAGCCGGTTTCACTTCATGGAAACCGTCTGATGTCACAGCATTAGAATTTGTTTGCTCGACGGTAGGCGGGTACTTTTTTACTTAACCAATCACTGCTATTTGGTCATGACGTATGTAATGCTCCACTAACGCGGCTAACTTGTATATTAAGCTTTTCCCAAATACAGTAGGAAGAAGGACAATAACATCTTTCCCGTTGATAAAATTCACCAAACATTCCCTTTGTTCCAGCTTTAAATCCTCGATCTCGGGAATCGTTGCCAACACAGAATGTATGGCTCGTCACTGATTGGCTGGTGCCCGGGCTTGCACTTCCGGGGTTCTTGTGAACCATCTAGTTTATTCCGATTTCTGGTCTAGTCACTGGAGAGAAATTAAATTGAGTGGAGGCACTAGGTGGCACCCATCTGGCTATTCTTTAGGCAGCAGTTTGACTAAAAACAAAATATTGGCCTGTGCTAGAGATTTATGGCCAGTAGCCTATTCACTGACCTGATATATTGACCCATCTCTAATAATGACTATTCTGTGCTTTAAGGGCCTTTATCAGTTCAGTTTCAATTTATTCTAAGTTTCATTCAGGATAAATGCTCTTTACATCATGCATTGTTTGGTAAAATTTGATAAATAAATAAAAAAAGTACACTGTACAATTTAATCTGTTAATTCTTTTTTTTTCCTCTGGTACTAACTCATATAAAAAAACAGACAGGGTTACATTTTTTCATCCAATCAGGTAGTATAAGTAAGAGTCATGAGAAACAAACTGCTTGACACTATCCAAGTCATGTGAATCTCTGTCATGGTACATTTTCAAGAGTGACAAAAAGCACAAAGTTGGCAAAGATTGATGAACTTTAAGAAAATGACTGCATGACACTGTTCCGCTGTCGTTTCTGTGTCATGGTGCAACATCACAATGAGTAAGGTTAAACGTTCAAACTAAAACATGTCTGTGACTCATGGTTTGAAATCAGGTACAGGCCCTTTAAATAGCCTACAGGGCATAGTTTTTCATTAGTACTTGCATGCGTTATAACGTTTGGCTGGAGATGTGAAGGGGTATTAGTGCTGGGAAATATCTTATTCAAGTGCCATAAAAAAGAATACATTTTTATGCCTGAAGGTCTCCACCAGAGTCTTTGATTTGGAACTGCCAAACTTGTTTTTGTTTGTTTGAAAAAGCTGTATTTTCCTCAGGTTTTTATAAGACTATGGTGGCCCAAGCAATCCTTATTTGGGGAGAAAAAAATAGACTGAGACAAAATGTATTGATCCACAAGGGAAAGTTTTGAGTAAATATGCCACTTATTGACTTTTATTAATCAATAACAGACTGAATAAAGATTAAATAAAGTTACTTGCTTATATTTATGATAATACAACAACCAAAAAGTGTTATTTTTAATTGCTCAGTTTGATATAGTCTGTGGAGGCAAAAATTAGACTATAGTCTCCTCTAATAATTTCTTGTAACCATAGTTTCCCCATTATTAATTTCTCACGCCTTTTAAATTTTGGCCTGTCAGGCTTGTTGGAGCTCTCATTACTGCCTCTTGAAATTAAGAAACAGCCTTAAACACAGGAGGTTAAAATCGGTTGTCGTTTCCTGTTTTAAATCCAGTTGCATACAGCTTACATTCAGTGCATTGGATCAGGCATTTATAATTGTATATGATTCATGAACAATAATTTTTACACTGCCACACCAATTGACCACAAGTGTAGCAGATCCAGTTCCAAACATTGATCCAGGTCAACTTGTGAGTAAAAATTGTCCCCGCTTATGTCTATAATATTTGTTTTTATTCACAGGTTTACGGAGGGATGAGAGGGATGAAGGGCCTGGTGTACGAGACATCTGTTTTAGATCCAGAAGAGGTCAGTAAAGATTAAATTTTTTGTGTGACAAATATTCTGACCTATTAAAACAGTGATTAACTTTGTGTATTTATGTTTAAGTTAATTTTGAAAGTAATTTGTTTTTAATGATAGTTAATGGAAATCAAATCAGAAATTATGATTTGTTTAATCAATATATGTGGAGCAGAAAACCCTAATCTTCACTGATGTCTTGTCTCCTCCCCAGGGCATTCGTTTCAGAGGCTACAGTATCCCTGAGTGCCAGCAGCTGTTGCCCAAAGCTCCCGGAGGAGAGGAGCCGCTGCCTGAGGGCCTGTTCTGGCTCCTGGTGACAGGACAGGTGCCCACAGAGGAACAGGTGAGGAGACCAGAGCACCAGAGTGTTAGTATGGAGCAGGGGGTTATATAGGGCTGTATAGTCTACCGATTGATTAGTTGAATAAATGGGCCAGTGGTGTGAAAGTGGCAATGGCTCTCTAGCTGTATAAATCCTAATCTCAGTCTATTTAAATTGAGATTGACAAATTGAAATTTAAATCTAGACTGATCCTACAGCCAACAATGTATGATATTAGTAAATGTTTTTTTTCTTCTTCAGCAAAAGCGAAAGGGTTTGATTTGTTAAAACTGGTCACATACTAGATTTCTTGCACTATATTAGGTAAAAAGCAAGAATTTTGCCTTTTTCCATTCATATTGTAAATCTTGGCAATGGTGAGATGGTTTCTCTCACAATAATAAAAATGACATTGTAGTCCCTAGATTCCCTACATGTAGCATGGATGACAGATGGGATCCTTCAAGTGTTACTCAAGTGTTACTCCAGCTCTAGTTGAGGCTTAGACGCTACTATTTGTCCTGGTTTATTTTAGATTGAGTCTAATAATAATATTAGTATTGGTTGCATAATATTTTAAAATGTTTTTTAATAGGTGAACTGGGTGTCCAAAGAATGGGCGAAGAGAGCAGCTCTTCCATCTCACGTGGTCACAATGTTGGACAATTTCCCCACAAACCTCCACCCCATGTCCCAGTTCAGCGCTGCCATCACAGCTTTGAACAGCGAGAGCAGCTTCGCTCGGGCATATTCTGAAGGAGTGCACAAGTCCAAGTACTGGGAGGTCAGTCCAGACAAAGATCTTTTGCTTTTTGACTCCAAATAGTGATTTCTTTATTTGCACAGTGATTGTGATGTATTTCTCTTTACCATTTAAAACTATGCTAAATAGTGCCAGTTGAGGATGACTTTACAGACAAAACATAAAAGAATTTTTGTCAACTTGTACCATTTTCGTCACACTTATTATGCTCTTATTATATAGTGAAAGTGTACTAGAAGTGTTAAAACATGTATGCATAGGTTAAGAGTTGGAGGGTTCTGGCTACATGGTACAATGGGGCGTTGTGCAGATATGATTTAATACAATATAGTAATGTAATGAAGTAAGTATAATGCATAAAGTGTAATCTGTTTTGTTTTCTCCTGATTATTTGGTCTATAGCTTCTTGAACTACAGTGTCCCATTATGCATCTAAATACAGCTCTTTAACCATTTTAAATTGTGTGTTTCTTATAGTTTGTTTATGAAGACTCTATGGACTTGATTGCTAAACTGCCCTGCATCGCTGCTAAGATCTACCGTAACTTGTACCGTGAAGGAAGCAGCATCGGAGCCATTGACTCAAACCTGGATTGGTCCCATAACTTCACCAACATGCTGGGCTACAGTGACGCGCAGTTCACCGAGCTCATGCGCCTCTACCTCACCATCCACAGGTACAAAATATATTTATGTAGGCCATTTTAATGGTGAAATATTTTTTAGGACCAGAGGTGGGTAGTAATCAGAGACAATTTATTGAGTAACCTTTGTAAAAAAAATTGTACATTTCAGAGAACTTTTCTAGCAACATACATTTACTACTACTTTAGTAATATTTTCATTGAAGTGACAGTACTCTTACTTGAGTAACTTGGTTACTCTTCCCACTGTCAGTAAGTAACAAAAGCTTTGTTGAATATTTGTTTCTTGCTCTGTGTGTTCTGAGGTAGTTCTAATTTTTGTGTCTATCCTTTGAAAATACCACATTGTTTGCATATTTGATGTTTTCTCCTTCCATTTACATTAATTTCAAATTATAAATCAGATGGTAGGCCCTGACACATTACTCTTTAAGTGGACTACTTGAGTGGTAGTTTTCTCAAATACTTTTTTACTCTTACTAGAGTAATTTCTTTGACCACTACTTATTATTTTTGAGTAATCTTACTCTTTTTGTATACTCTACCCACCTCTGTTATCAAAATGTATTTATGTAGGCCATTTAACAGTGAAACTTCATTAGGACCAATTTCACCAATGTTCTTTGTTGGGACAAAATGATTGATTATATGTCACTATAATCAAATCACAAAGGCAGCAGTTGTTTGGGTAATTAAATTTCCTCTGCAAGATTCAGCCTGCCTGGTGATTAAATCTGCGATCCTGTTGGTCCTCTGTAGTTAAGACTTATAAACACACAAGTAGTATGTGAGTTTATTTCTGTTTTCTCTCAAATGTTAAAGGTGCACTATGTAACTTTTCTTGTGGAGTTTTTACTACCTGCCCATTTCCCTGGAAATGATATTGTTTTGCCTAAAATTTCCCACAGTATGGCCTAAGATTTGTAACATGGCCTTGTCTGCATGAAGATGTAAAAGTCAGATCTGCGGAGAGTAAGGATGGGCATTTGATAAAATTTTATTAATCGATTGTCAGGAGAATTAACGATCGATTGTCGATTAATCATTAATGTTTTTATATTAAAATTATCACCATTATTATTAGTATCTGCACTACTAATCTGCGTAAATAAATTTAACTTTACAACGTTTGAGATTATAATATGTTTAATGCAGCTTTGCGCAAGTCTCACAGAAACTAAACTCAAAACCACATGGCTAATTTGCATAAACTAAGTAAAGAGAAAAAACGCTCTTGTGCGCTCATATGGTCAACTTCTGTCAGACTAAAGGACACGACTCAGTGGAATATACGTTAGTGTGACCATATTTGCGTTTGTCAAAACCAGGACACCGTACGGGGGGTGGGGCCTCGTCATCGACATTGAGCTACTCTCACCTGGCAAAGCTTTTTAATATTTTTCGGTGTCCTGGTGAGCTTTGAGGTCCCTGGCATCGCCACTGGACATCGAAACATATGTGCCTGCTTTGCACAGTCTGCACATGGCCTCCCACTTGTCCCGACCGGGATGGAAAGCGGGGCATTTCTTATACATTTGCGCTTGGGCATGTTGCAGGCTGACTGTTTGTGTCTGCTCGCTCCTTCTGAGTGCAAAGAGCTGCGAGAGCTGCTCAGTTTAATGGCCCAATGAAAGGTAATGAAAACCCGGACATTTGCATCACTTTATTAAAAAATAAATAAAAATGGACAGCCAGGACACGATGTGGAAATCAGACATGTCCAGGGAAAAATGGATGTTTGGTCACCCTACGCTACGCACAGCAACCTACATTCGATTGGATGATTAAAAATGAACATAATCGATGAAATTCTTAATAATCAATTATGGATTAATCGACTAATCATGCCCATCCCTGGGGGAGAGGAATATACCTGCTCACAGAACAGTTTTGTAAATAGTTTTAGATTAAAAAAAAAAGATTGTTTTAATGCCATATTGTGCTTTTCAGGGAAAGGTATGACTTGAATGAAGATGCTGTGTTAAACTCAAAATGTTATTGATTTAAATCTGTGATCACCACTTTTTATTTCCTCAGTGACCACGAGGGAGGAAACGTGAGCGCCCACACCAGTCACTTGGTTGGCAGCGCTCTATCTGACCCCTACCTCTCCTTCAGTGCGGCTATGAACGGGCTGGCTGGTCCTCTGCACGGGCTTGCTAATCAGGTACATAGTCACACATTTAACAAAAGCTTAAATATTTGCATTGTTCAGTTTGTCATTTTCCCTGTAATGTATTGTACTCCCTGCTGTGACCATTAGGAGGTGCTTGTGTGGCTCACAGCGCTTCAGAAGGAGCTTGGAGGAGAGGTGTCTGATGAGAGGATGAGGGATTACATCTGGAACACACTCAAGTCTGGAAGGGTAAAAAATATGTTTGTGTAATTTGTGTATATTTGTGTGCATTCATGGCATCCAAATTTGGATTTATTGTCAGTAATAAGAAGGCACCAAAAGCATCAGCTGTAATGAAAAATGACTTGCAGTGTAATTGTTCAAAAAAGGGTTGGATCATATGTTCAGAGTGGTCTCTGAGCAGCCATCTCTTAATCACTGTTTTTTTCCCCAATCCTGTCTGTATCATGATAACGCTAGCTTTACACTCTATTGTAGGTGGTTCCTGGTTATGGCCACGCTGTTCTGAGAAAGACAGACCCTCGTTACACCTGTCAGCGCGAGTTTGCACTGAAGCACCTGCCCAACGACCCCATGTTCAAACTGGTGGCTCAGCTGTACAAGATTGTCCCCAACGTTCTTCTGGAGCAGGGCAAAGCAAAGAACCCCTGGCCCAATGTGGACGCTCACAGTGGAGTCCTGCTGCAGGTCAGATAACAGTCTGCTCTTATGGGTTTCATTTCAGGGTTTACATCATATTCTTTAGACACGTAGACTTAAACTGATTAGAGGCCGGTGAAGTGGGCATTTCCACTAGTACTGGATAATCAGTTAAAAAAGTGTTGATGCTACCTTCAATTATTAACTGTTTGTACAAAAATCCCTTCAGAGAAACATTCTCTAACTAAATAATGAATTTATTAAGCATTTATATAGCGCCCAAGATAATCAAAACTATAATAATATGCTATAATTAATGCTTTGTTCATTCATCCAGTTTGAATTTTTGTTTGGAAATTAGAAGTGAACAAAAATATTATAAAACATATTTTTTCTGCTGTTTTTGCAAAGTGTCTCTTAACTTTTTACAACACAAAATTGACCCAAACTTTACAAATGAGTGATTCTGTATTTTGATGTGATTAATTGCACAGCCCTAATTACCGGTCAGTCCTCTCATATTCCCTTGTGTCTCTTTCCAGTACTATGGCATGACAGAGATGAACTACTACACTGTGCTTTTCGGCGTGTCCCGAGCTCTGGGCGTGTTGTCTCAGCTGATCTGGAGCAGGGCCCTGGGATTCCCTCTGGAGCGCCCCAAATCCATGAGCACAGACGGACTCATGAATCTGGTGGGAGCCAAGTCGGGCTGAACCACCGCGGGAGGCCGGTAGGGGTCAGTGAAGGGTGGGAGGAACTGGAAATTTCCCCAAAAATGAAAAGCAGATGTAGGATTTCAACTTCAACTACTCCAGGTTTCAAAGATGGTACACCTTTAATGTCATTTCACATACAAAGGGCCTTTTCATTTGAAGCAAAATTGGGTTGCGTTATTGTTAACCACTGACTAGTTTAAAGTTATACCACTGTGTCTGCTAGCATTATTAGCATCTTCAAACCTTTATCTAAGATTGTGCGTCAGCTGGTACCATGTTGTGAGCTTTGAAAAGGCATTTAAAGGGAAACATGGGAGTTCAATTACACTTCCAATATATATTGTTTTAAGATGTGATGTTAAACGTGAGACAAGCCTTTTCTGCTTTGGGCGAATTATACTTTGACTTCTTTGAATGCTACAACCTGGAGCTATTTACATTTACAAATCCAGTTTTATTTTCTTTCTATGCAAAGTTGTTATCCCAGTAAATCCACATGCTTCACTCCCATTGTAAAACACTCCAGTTTAAAACGATTGGACTGCTCAAAACTAACAAACCATTTTAAAAGACACTGCCCCTTTAAATTTGTGGTCTTATCAAGTCCTCTATGATCAAAATGACTACACTAACAGTCAAAGGTTTGGACACAATATTGTTTTTATTTTTAATTTTCATGACTATTTACACTGTAGACCCTCACTGAAGGCATCACAAATTTAGTACACAAAAGTGTATTTTTTAGATCTTGGATTCTTCAAAATGGTCACCCGTTGCTTTGGTCTCTTGGTATTCCAATAATGAGCCAGTGACAAGGCACTCATGAAGTGAAAACCATTTCAAGGGACTTCATTGTAAAGCTCATGAAGAGGGGTTTGCAGCGCTGTTGACAAGGTAAAGGGTGGTCAGTCTGAGGAATCTAAAATATCATATTTAACATATATTTAACTTTTTTTTTCTCTTGCTTCATTACCTCACATCTTTCCTCATATATTTGATGTCTTCAGTATATATCTACAGTATTAAAAGTACAGAGAAACGTGTCCCAACTTTTGACTGGTAGTTTTCTAAATGTCTTTTTTTCCTCATATAAAACCCATTAAATCTTTACTTTTCTAAACGTTTGTTTTAAAATGACTATGAATCAATAATGTACAGTACATGTAGATGCTATATTTAGGCTGATTAGATTGCAGCAGATGGTTCAGTTATTAAGAGCAAGTTTGAATGGACACGTGAATTGGGTACTATTGTCCTATTTGTATTTTAGCTTGTTTTTCCCAACGAGAGAGCGCTTTCAACATCGACTACTCCAAAACAAGCACTTGATTGGAATTTTACTAATTAGTAGCTGTAGAAACCCCCAAGATTGTATCCCACCCTTGAGATATTTTGTTGATGTTTGATGATGTTAGTTTTCTCATTTCATGGTCTTATTTATACATTGTACATAGGTATATACTTGTATATGTATAGCTTGAATGTATTAACGTGCATACCATATTCTAATAATGATTATCACAGTAGTTTGACATCATTTTCCTTTTACATTGGTCACTTATTGTACAAAAGAACAAATTGAAATCTGCAGCTATGTTGTAAATACACAATCTTTGACTAGCTAGGTGCTATTTCTCAGGAGTTTCACCCAGTTCAAACTTGCTCTCAACAGCCAAACATCTGCTGTCCGTAGATTATCCAGCACTCCATTTTGTCAAGTCATCAATCTGAAATTAGTTTAAACCAAAGCTAATGTTCTTAACCTTATTTTTGGCTTTGTACGTGTGGTGTTCTGCATTATAGCTAACGTATGATTGTTTTGATCGTAGAGGAGCAATAAGCTTTGGTTCATTGTAACATAAAATCACATTGGGGATGTGATGTAGATGGATCAAACGGGCAAGAAAAGAATATTGGAAAACTTCACAAAACATGAAAAATAAAAGGTTTTATTAACAAGTGTGATTTTGTCTTTTGTTAAATAGGTTTACATCTGATAGGAATACAACTATTTCTTGACGGTATTTAGAATGTATTGCATTTTATGTTAAATGTAATTTATTTGCTGCAGTAAGTGGTAGAATGTTGGGGACTGCATAAACCATAATTCTTTGCTCCACCAACATGAAATTGCTGTTATTTAAATATATTACACAAAATGGATTCTTGTGAGCTTTAAACCATGTTCTAATGTAGGGCCCTTCTCAAAATAAAATACCTGGTGTTGTGCTTTGTTACATTCACACATGTTTGAGTAATCCGTTATTACTAGAATGTCTATGTCTTATCGTAATATATCGATTTCTTTCTCTAGTGAATATTAGTATTGTGAAAACATTAATTCACAATAGTATCCCCAGTACCACAAATATAGCAGGTAGTTAAGCATTTTGTTACTTCCATATATGAATCTTCCAGTTAATTTCAAAGTCACTTATTAACTTTAATAGCTTGATGCCCTCCAAATATCCATGTGGAATCCTGTTTTAATGGTATTGACTAAATAAATGGTTTCAGTTGGCATAAAATGTTGGCTGTCCTTTACCTCTTCTGATGGGGGGTATAAATAGTTACGTGTCCCAAATACCACGACCCCACTCCGGTTTCTAGAGGGACGACTTCCTGGTTTGTTCACACTGGTTAAACACTGATATTTGAACTTGTAAGTAAACTTCAGGTGTCTATGACAGGTTAGACTACCCATTTTTACTAAAACACTGTTGATTGGTGTAAATCTGTAATAATTTTTTCAATAGGTCTTATCTCACCAAATTATGTTAATGTGAAAAAATTTCATATGCACTTTAATATAGCACTTTACACCAGTGGTGCAAGGTAACAAAGTTAGTAAAGTGTAGTTAAAGTACAGATACCTAACAATGTAATTTTAGTTTAAATTTTTAAGTCGGTACTTTTACCTCACTACATTACATCTGTACTTTCTAAACCACTATATTTTTAACTGGACTGAAAAGTTAAAAGTACTTTTCCTATAATTTTAGGGGTTATTTTTTACCATGTTTGTAGGAAAGGGTGACTGAAGGTTTTGAGTTCAAGCTTCAGCTTTCAGCAAACAAAATACACAAAATTCAGAAAAAATAAGAAATTGATTTGTATTGACACTGTTCACCAAAATCTGTATAATTTTTTATCAATATCACTACATTTAACAAGTCAAAACACTTAAAGCACTTAAGTACTTTTACTTAGATTTTTTCATGATATTTTTACTTTTACATGAGTAACATTTTGCCTCTGTATCTGTACTTTAACTTAAATAACAAAAACTAAACTGAGCACTTCATCCACCACTGCTTTACACAGATAACAAAGAGCATATCTTTTTATAGACTCCAGTGAGTGTTTCTCAAACACGTTTGCAAGCTTGTCTGCACTTTAAATAGAGTTTAGAATCAATTGAATCCACACTTTCACTTTCACCTTTTCAACTAGTATAGCCATTGTATAGTATCATGTAGACTTAGTTTAGTCCTAGATATGACATGAAATATTCCTGTTTTAGACTGGCTTTGAATCTAGTGGTACTCAGAAGGTCAAATATTTTCATAGGTCATAGGCCTACTTGATGTGAAATATTTAAGAACCACTGCAGTAGATAATTTTATCAACCTCCATTATTACAACAACAATATACAACAAAGTATTTCAATAATGTTAATCACTTTTACATACCATAAAATTTGAAATTCTAATATTGTCTCTTAAGATATTACATTGCATAAAAATTAACAAAAGGAGTAACCTGTCTGGTGAATAGTCTACCACCGTTTGTTTCCATAGATGTTTTTGCTTTAATAAAGATGTTCCATATTATATCATCTGCCTGTGTCCATGGAAATAGAACAGAGTAATGCCATACTATGGAATTCCAGGCAAAGCAGTATCTCATTGAGACAAGCAGGTAGCAGACAGTATACCTTTAGAAATGTTACATGATGCATCTTTAAAGATTTTGCAAAACAATCATATTATTGTTAGGCTGCCTCCTCAGGGGTCACCATAGTGAACCAGGTGCTCTTCTTCCACAACCTGACATGTGACTTGAGAGGGCAATGGGGTTCAAGGATGTGGTGACAAAAATAAAGATCACATTGTAAAACCTGTAATGGGAGCTACTAAAATGTGTTCAGTTTAACCATGTAATTTTCAGTGACTCATAAGATTTCATGTTAAAGGTGCTACATTACAGAAAATGGACTCTTGTGAGCTTTAAGCCCTACTAGAATGGTTTTACCTCATCAAAAATATACACAGAGTTGTGTTGTTTCATTCACACATGTTTGAGAAACCCTTTATTATTAGTCTGTCTACATCTACAAAGCTCAAAATGCTGTTCCACCTTGTGATGTCATGTAGTTTTCAAGTTAACAGTTGACGTTTACTTTTTGCAACACAGGAAAATACACCTACTTTACATTGCACATTTTTTATTGCTTTTTTACACTCAATTTCCATTAAAATCTTTCAAGTACACATTCTTCATGCACCAATCATAGCATTGTAATACTTTCTTATACTTTCTTACCTTCTTATTCCCTTATAGTTTGTTTTACAGGCTCTAATTTTCAGAATTTGGGGGCTGGATTAAAATAATTCTTAATTCCTCAATCTGATTATTTGTTTTGATTATTATTTTGGCTGTTATAAATCCTAATCTTCAATTGACAAACCATTGCTGACTTCCCATCTAAGGCAATGTGTAATTACTTTAAAATAAAGCCCCAAATAAAAACTAAAGAAACCCAGTTACATTTAAACGTCCATGCACCTTAATAAATATGACAATGAAAGAAACACAATGTAATTTCACTACACATGGTTAATGACTTATTCTACAGCCCAAATCAGCCTCTTGTATATCTTCATAATTTGAGGATATTTTTGCATTTTTGAGTTATAACAGTATACATCAGTAGTCTTCAGTTTCTTGGTCACAATTTGATTGGACACAATTAGCAAACCGTAGACAGCATTATCTCTAGGTATTATAATGTTATAATGTCATATGCCTACAACAAAATCTCTTTATTGTGCAAGTTGTGGCTTTGTATTTAAGGTGCACTATGTAACTTTTTTGGTGGAGAGCCCGCCATCTCCTTACGTTCCCCAAGTTCCAGGTCAGATTTGTGTGCATGTTTTTTTTGTTTCGTTTTCAAGGTAATTCTGAGCAATGAATCCATGTAATTACATAAATGCAAGATACAAACCTCCAATGCCGTACTGTGGAACATTTTAAGTTAAGCAATAACAAGTAAGAGACAAGCAGGTGGCAGATCAGAAATGTTACATAGTGCACCTTTGATTTATAACTATTGGACAATGATCTTCAAATCTGACAATACCAGCAATTTCAAAGTTGCAATTAACTAATCCCAAAAGCTATAATTATCTATATTATATAGATATTATCTATATATAATTATCTAGGTAATGTCATATACATTCAATAACATCTCCCGTCTCTTCTTGTGCAAGTTACGCCTTTGTATTTTTTAAAACCTTTACGATTTTAGATATGTTGGTAGAAGATGTACTATATATTTTTAACATAGTCAAACATTGCTTCAGGCTGTAAAATAATACATTATTAAAAGATGGTCATTCAAATCTTTCAAACCAAAACAAACTCCTCACAGCATAACAATTGTCAAAATAAATCTTTGTTTCCCAAATATTATATATATTTTCCCCTTGAAAAATGTCACAAAAAGACATTTCTCTTACCACATGGCACCTTTAATAACTAGAAAACAATGCTATGCATATAACCGCTGCTGAATAAATTAACTATTTGATTTTGCACCAAGCTTGCAATGATAACTAATGAAAATAATGCAAGGGATTTTGCGAAATGTTATAATAGTAATGTGCTTGTTCCAGTGTAACAGGTCTCGTAAGGTTGGTGGATATCCATTATAAGGTCTCAAAAATATGCAGCTTTCCAGTAAGGCAGTGCTTCTCAAACTATGGTACATGGGCTCATTTTAATTTGGAGTAAAATTATTCATGTTTTTGCCCTCTTTAGAACTAGTTTAGCTCTGGCCTAGTCCCGATTCAGATCTGGTAGTACTTGGAAAGTTAAATATTTTCTTTGATACTTTGTGGGAAAAGTTTGAGAACCACTGCAATAAAATAAACAACCCAAATTCTGTAAAAACAGCTCAGCTATGTTGGTAACATGATCATTCAACTGTGGGGTTTACATAAACAGCATGTGGAAGGTCATGTAAGGCCACACAATATCTTTGAACAAACTAAATATATACGGTTTACACAGTTCTATTTTCATGCACTGCTTAAAATGAAAATGTGTCAAGACTTGAAATATTCTAACAATTATTTTATATCATAATCTTAATTAAGATTCTGATTTTGTAAAGTTCTGATTTAGACCAGCAAATAAAGAATTTATTTTCAAGCAACTTTTCAGGTAAAAGGAAATGTCCCTGCTCATTGCATGGGCTTGTGAGCAGGATTGTCTCTTCACAGACCTAAGCTGTAACTTGGTATGGTGGAGTCACCTGCTTCTCTCCAAGGAGATAAATGTACTGGGGGATATTCCAAGCCACCATTAACTTCTGTAGAGGAACTTTTTACAAAATTTAAATTTTTGAGAGAATTGAAGGGAAGTTCGATGTTGTTTACGACATTAATTGAAACGCTGTAAAAGGTATTGTGAAATACATGACATATGTTGTTCTCATATTGTGCAGCCTTACTGTTTTGAGAACATTGTTAGAAGAGGCCAAAAACATCCTTTTCGCAGAGGTAGAAATGAACAAGCTGGACTAACAGAAGTGAGGCAGAGACATAATACATGGCACTATCAACCAATGATTTGAAGGTCTTACACATTTATTAGCAGCTATTGGAGCTAAAGTGGAGCTTAAAATGAGACCATGTGGGCAGTCTCGTGCAGGTGGGGGCAGGAGAAATGTGTCAGAGTTTTGGTTTTAAGGCCGGTTTTTGTGGAGGTTTGGTGGTGGCGGTGGCTCACGTCTGATGGACCTCGTGAAACATGAGTTCTCGCGGGATCCGTGTTTCTGGTCCGAACAGTTTGCAGGCTCGCCGCTCAAACGCAGCCACATTCTGCTTCACCACCTCGTCGAAAAACATGGTGGCCAACTGGGAATGCAGCAGCGAGCGGAACTCAAAGGAAATCTGGAAACAAGTAAAGAAGATAAACGTAATCTGTGCAAAAAATAGGAATGATTGATAGTGCAATTAATGTTTTATTAGCTGAAATATGAATTGTTAAACTAATATAAAAGTCCCATGCACTTAAAAACATGTTTTCAGATACATTATATAACACCATATTTTGTTGTTTGCTCAGGAAATTATGTTATTTAACTAAAAACTGCAGTGCTTGTGGTTGGCCAATTGTGACCATTGAAGTTATAATAATCTGGAAGCCCTATTAGCCCTATTGATGTAGAAAAAGTTATGCCTCTTTTGAATAAAACAAACAGGTAGTGTGCTACTTACAGAAAAGTCCACAGTGCATGTGCGTGGGTAACCGGGTATTCCAGGACTAAAGCGCCATATTGTCTCAAGGTGATTGAATAACTTTCCATCTGTACAGACAGCCTAAACAACAAGAGAGATAAGAGAATTAATGAAAAAATTAGTATAGGATTAAATACATTTAATGTTTTTCTACTCTCCTTCAGTTGCACACATGTAAATTTCTATAATTAATGACTTGTAACTAACTACATTTTTTAAATGCCAAATTGTTGTAAACTATAATGTTGTTAATTCATAAAAAACAAAATACCTGGAGTTGTTACTAAAATGTGTGAATTAAAGTAATACCTAAAAAACTGGACTGAGTTGCTTGTACTTATTTTCTCTTACACATTATTGATTTTATAATGAGAAATGAGTAATAAATAAAACGTATAGATATCTCCCCTTACTTTGACTAAATGCGGTCGAACGTTGGTGATCATGGATGTGTATCTCTCGACCACCGGAGGAAAACCCACTTCTAGCTGAGCTTTGGCATGGCCCGCTCTCTTCATTATGGTCTGGGACTTCTTGCACCAAGGGACAAAATGCTTGTAATCGTCAACATTGGCCACCACATCGTACATCTCCTGCATAGAATACCTGAAAGACCGTTTACAAGTGAGGTCAAAACAAGATCAGTATCAAATCAATACAATGTGAATTAGGGCTGGATAATGGATTGCAAAATGATAATATCCATAAAAAAATTAAAAAGTACAATATATTAAAAAGGCGCTCAATATAACTTTTATTGTGAATGGTTTGTCACCTGTTTGTCTCCATGGAGATGTTACTGCAGGTATTTATTCCCCAAAAACACCTTTAAAACCATCTAGTCTTACTGTAAATGGGCTCACATCCCCACAGATCTTACCTGTAACTTGGCCTAGAGTAGATAGTAGATAGTTTACAGCTATACTGTGGAATATTCCAGACAAAGCAATATCTCCATGGAGACAAGAAGCTGGACCCTTCACCAGAAAAGTTATATGGTGCATCTTTAAAATGTATTTTTGTAACACAACAAAAATGTGTAGTGTAAATAATTGAAAAAGGTTTTATTTTCTATAGCTAGTTTAGTTTCTAGTTTCTGGTCTTGTTTTAATCTTGTTTCTTTCAAATAGAGGACAGTTTAATCCCCCCCCCAGTCTGAAAGCAAAATGAACATCAATTCTTGCCAGTTATATCTTACTGCATGCTGTCGTAATTATTCAAAATATTCACAAAAACATTCCAATATTAAAATGGACTACACAGTTCACTCCTATTGCTACATTGTTACTCTAAAATCATCATTAACCCAAACTGTGAAATGAGTTACCCCAGTATTCTGCGCTCTGAGTATTCCTTCCTTTTGTTGGTGAGGCTGATGAAGCTCCGGCTGTGGGGGGCTGCCGACATCATGTCCCCCTCATGAAGGCAAAGCACTCTGGGAGTCCTGGTCATTAGGATACCACATGATGATAAATACCTGGAATTTAAGATGGAAAAAAATATTTATTGTTAAACAAATTCTGGAAAGAGACACAGTTTTAAAGAGAACAGCTCAAAACATAAACAACTAATTCTTTGTCAATAATGACCAACACAAGAGGGCTCTGTGTGGGAGTAGCTGGTAATTTCTGAAATGGTCCCTTTACACAAACAAAAAAAACCATTGTAATCTGACACTCAGTAATGCTTGCAAAACATAGCAAGTAGTTTTAGTCCTTGTTTGAAGTAGTAGTTGGTAATTTTGTTTATTTTAGTATATGTGTATGTGTGTGATGCATCTTTGAGCTAGCCATTTAAATTTAAAGTGCTATGGCATGTTTTCATGTTAGACTTTAGTTAGTCACTCCATTTCTTTGAAAATCAAACACCTAAACAGGACCAAGAATGCTTGTATTGATCATAGCCTCCTGAAAATGTGCTGTTTAAATCAGTATTGTATTTTTTCTTGAGTTTTCAGACAAATCTTAAAACCTTTTGGCAGTGTTTGCTAATGTGTGTATTGTGTCACCATGGTAACAGTTACAATCCACACTACATTCATGTAAAACTCCCCCAGCATGATGTCACTGCAAACTACCAAGACAATATTCTTAGTAGTTCAATCTCATTCATAATTATGTCAAGTATTCTTTAGTGAAAATAGTAGTGCAGCCTTCCATATGCACCGGTGATCAAGTATTAAATGTTATATGGCTGTGTTTAAGATAAGATTACATAATGCTATAATCTAGTGATTTACTGACATAAGGGCAACTAAAAATGCCAACTGAGTGTGTTGACATTAGGATATATTGGAGGTGTGGTTAGATAAATATAGCAGAGAGACCCAATCATCAGGTGTAACAATGTGTGGATTCTCTCGTGGATCTTTCTCATTTAAACAACAAATCAATAATCAATAGGATCACTGGTCACTGCCGACTATCCAACCTACCTAGAATCTACCAAAACAATTCTCTTTTCATTGTTATGTAAGCACACATTCCACATATATACAGACAACTCTGCTATTTACGCCCATTTAATGTTAGATTGTAATTATTGGAAAGCTAATCTACTACGATGCGAAACTGATTCATATATCGATTTTACCTGATATGTTGTCTCATGCATCCTCTTTGCAGCACCGTTCGTGTTGAGCGAGGAGAGCCCACCGTTGCAATCTGCAGAAAGTCACTCAATGTCCTCACACCAATGGGTAGTCTTCGGGCACTAGCTGAAGCTGCCATCAAACCAGAGGCTACCCAGTTCAATCCAATGGGGGGTGGATCCTTGATACCGATATGAATTCAATACTAAGACTACGCGCTTCAATTTTACTACGATCTAAGTTACAGTAACACTTTTACACGATTTAAAACGAAACACTAACTATTTAGAAGTAATGTAAATAAAACTAAAATGCACTTGTTGCTCGTCTGTTGTTTTTTCCGATGTTTTTAGGTGATATCTCTGGTACAGTAATGCTAACAACTAGCCACTTAGCAACGAGTACGAACAAACACGACGTCAACTAACAAATCTTCTGCTTTTACAAACGTCCATTTTTCGTTTCCAGGGTTCTTCGTAAAATTATGAAGAAAAATAGCGACGTAAAAAGTGCTGGGTTGTAGTTTTTTGGTGTTGTTGATGAGACGACCTTCTGCTGCGAAATAAAACGCCGGTGTCGGACAAAGCTGCGCCTGCTTCAGCTGCAGTGTGGGGCTGGGTTTGGGTCTGTGCACAGAAATACTGCCCCCAATGTTACGGCTGTAAACGAGCAGGATTATACAATGTAAAAATACACTACTTCTTTTTCTTGCTTAATAGGAATTGTTTAAAGTTCAGCCCATTATCTTAAAACAACCTCCTGGTTTGGCCTAAAATTACTATTTGCTGCTCACTGTTGTGTTTTGTCATTACCATGGCTATATTAGTCATAAAAGAGTATTTTAAGGATCTGTATGTAGTCTGTACTCGGTTTTATTTTATTTTATTTTATTCTATTCTATTTTATTTGCCACTCTTTGTTGTCTTGGCTTACAATGGGCAAAATGATCTATTGTAGATCCATGAACTGAATAGTTTCCCATAATACGCTAAAATAACACGAGTCTTAAAACAAGTACTTTATATTAATCATACAAAGTAACAATATTGTTCATTTTTTTTAAAAAGTAGTATGTAGCCTGCCTGCACCATGGATCTATTAAAATAACTGACATGCACTCACTACAGCCAGAAATGAATCTGGACTGCTAGTGACTTGATCATATACAAGTTTTCTCATTCTCTGTATGTGTATGTGTGTGTATATGTGTATTTAAATTTTAATTTAAATTTTAATTTTAATTTTAATTTTAATTTTAATTTTTAATAATTTTTTAAAATTTAAATTTACGTGATGTTATGCCTGTCTGTAGCTATCCTATCATATATTTACATTTTTACATTGGCGCTTGCTCAAACATAATCATATTTATTTTTCCTCATGCCATTTCCAAAACACCCTGTGTTGTCTTGCCTGTGTTTGCCCACACAGTGCCGCCATCTCCCGGCACAGAGGAGCTGAAGCCTGCCGCTCCGCCACGCCTGTAGGAGGACCAGCTCCGGCCCAAACCCTTCCCCGTCGTCCCTCCGCCAAACACACACAGGATACACACAACAACACCCTGACAGATCCACGAAAAGAGACCAGCGCATTTCTGCTGTCTGCTGTCTACTGCGATGGGTGTAGTCTGAAAACAAGTGCATTCTGTGGCGAACCGCGATATACCTCGAAGTTGAATCCTCATGAAGGAGCTCCGTCCTGGCTGAGTTCGGGAGATGGGAGTACTCAACATTGCAGACCAGGTTTGATGAAAGAAAAATGCTTCGGGAAATTGTGTTGTGGCGCAGTCTATTTGCTGGGAATGATCAGGGCTTGTTCGCAGTCTTGCAGGGATTAAATCAAAATCGCATAAGTGCAAGTGATTGCTAAATTCGAGACATGCTTAATTTTTGGTTTACATCTTTATTTTTAAACATAGTCGCATATTTTCCCGTAATTTAGCTGAAAATAGTCGTAGACGCTGTTGTTGAGGCCTCGGTCTGGGTCTCGGCCAGCGCTGTGACAGAGTTAGCATAGTTAGCTTTGGGGCTAACAGCTAGAAGCTAATGCGCTAGCTTCGGCGACACTGGTTTGCACTGGATAAACAGGCCCCAGACCAATAAGATGTGGTGAGATAACTGGTGAATAGTTTTATTAAACCACACATTGCTAAAGCAGATTGTTCACACCCCATAAATTAGCGTGGGATATTTTTAACTTTCTAGCACGTCATGTACCTTGTGTTGTGCCGTAGTCTTTTCCTCAGCCAAATGTTGAATCATTGACTGTAAACCAATGACATTAATCGCATTTACTGGTTGTAATGGGAAATTTTCTATGTATTGCAGCCTCCTCTGGTCCAGGCCATCTTCAATCGCAATGCTGATGAAGTTCAATTATTATTGCACAAAAATGAGGACGTCAATGCACTGGTGGGTTACATCACATCTCTGCAGGCAAATGGAGTATATTTGGCCTATAACGTCATAACAGTAAAAATGTTAATGCTTAATTGGTTCACATCCAACAGGATCAAGAGCGGCGTACACCACTTCATGCTGCTGCCTGTGTGGGAGATGTCCACATTATAGACCTTCTCATAGAGGCAGGTGAGTATCAGGTTTAACTTTATTGTGATATTTACAAACATGAACTCAGTATTGCTTATAGCACCACTACTGTGACCTCTGTCTTTCAGGAGCCAGTGTGAATGCTAAAGACCATATTTGGTTGACCCCATTGCACAGAGCAGCCGCTTCCAGAAATGAAGTATGCCCCATAAATTTTTCCTTTATAATACAATCCATCTCTTATGTCCTTTACTGGCATTGTTGACAAATTGTGCACTTTGTTTGTCCCCAGAGAGCTGTAGGTTTGCTGCTGAGGCGAGGAGCTGAGGCAAATGCACGAGACAAGTCCTGGCAGACTCCTTTGCATGTGGCAGCTGCCAACCGCGGCACTCGCTGCGCAGAGGCCCTGCTGACCCAACTGAGCAACCTGAACATGGCCGATCGCAGTGGACGAACTGCCCTGCACCACGCTGCTCAGAGCGGGTTTCAAGAGGTGAGGCAAAGAACAGAAAGATATGTGACAAATAAATATTTGTCTATTAAGACTAAATACATTTGTATTTTTTAGATGGTGAAGCTCCTTCTGAACAAAGGGGCCAACATCAGTGCCATCGATAAGAAAGAAAGACAGCCTATTCATTGTGCTGCTTATTTAGGTAATACCGTTTTCCTACTTAATGTCTGTACACAATCATTAAAACACTTAAACATATTTGTAGTTTTTTCCATTTTAAGTATTGCATCCATGTCTCCTGTTGTGTGTATTTTTAGGGCATCTGGAGATTGTAAAATTACTGGTGTCCCGAAGTGCAGACAAGAACTGCAAAGATAAGCAGGGTTACACGCCTCTTCATGCTGCCGCTGCAGGTGGTCATATTGACATAGTTAAATACCTTCTGAGGATGGGCACTGAGGTGAGTCATCTTCAGTTCTTCTTTCGATAACTAGGCCTGTCACAATAATGACTATATTGATTTATGTTTTTTGGGGGCTTCGTAACATTTACAACCAGGGCTGCAACTGTAGACTGTATAAAGAAGTGAACTAAGAGAGTGTGACATCACCCATAGCATTCTGCTGTACTAAAACGGTGCTCACAATGCGAGCGGTTACTGGGGCGAATTTGGAGCCAGCCTGTATATTAGGAATGGGTATTCTTTAATGGACAAAATAGCGAAATAAAAACACCAAGATCATGTAGAGTAGGTTAATATGAACATTTTAAGATCAAAATGATGAATCTCACTGCAGCAGTTACAGAGAGAGTGGTGACAATATATATATTGGAGACGGGGGCAGAAGGAGCCAGAAGTGCCCCCATGTTCACTTCCTCTGTGGAACGCGGCGGCGTTGTCCTATTTTTGGGCTATTAGCTCAGGAGTGTAAACTAGTTTAAATATTATCATGCATAACAAAATATTGCACTTCAGTATTCATTATTGTTACAGGCTTACTGATGACCTGTATATCATTCAAAGATTTTAGAAATTCCTCTCAGTATTGCTGTAGGCACTGATTTTGATATGTTATTTTATCTTAGATTGACGAACCGAATGGATTTGGGAACACAGCACTCCATGTGGCTTGCTACATGGGGCAGGAGGCTGTGGCGACTGAACTTGTCAATCATGGAGCAAACGTTAACCAGCCCAACAAGTGTGGCTACACCCCTCTGCACCTGGCTGCTGTCTCCACCAACGGTGCCCTCTGTCTGGAGTTGCTGGTCAACAATGGGGCAGATGTCAACCAGCAGGTAAGGGTTGTTGTAGAAGTTCAGTTTGTCCAAGAAAGGGTGGAAGTAAAAGGCTGGAGACCAACTGGATGTCTTAAAGAGGAGAAGTTTATTTACTATACCGTCAGTGATGTGGGCCCTGGGGGACTTGAAATTATGATTAAGTGTGATTTCAAAGGTGAACATAGTATGATCTTGGAGTGTTCAAGCCCCTTTACTATGCTTCCAAAGGAGGAGGTTTATAAAGCAAATGTGGTGAGACTTTGAAGGCCAGTAGGCACAGGTTAGACAGCAATATGCCACAATTTAAATAATGGTATTCTAAGGGAAGATAATCGTGTTACAATAGCTCCTGTGAGTCAATGTTAAACTGAGAGATGTATGTGGAGGATAAATTACTTAAACTCTCCTACAAGGGTTATCATGAACCAAGAATAGTAAGAAAGTGCTCCTGAATTTTTTTTTGTTTTATTTAGTTGCACACTTTCATTAGTTTATGTTTAGAGCAGCTATAGCTGTTTTTTTTTTTAACCAGGTATTGTGCATTGTTGCTCTCAGATTGATTGAGAAAGTATTACTAGTTCTATCTGTTGGTTTTGCTCAAAGGTATGAGGTTATGTTAGGGGTGGGCGATATCTCGATATTTTAAATATATCGAGATAGTTTTTAAACTCGATATGAATTCTGACATATCGCATATATCGATATAATGCTTATATTTAATTTTTGATTTCGCCACTTTGCTTGTTTACCTTCTCTCTCGTCGCGTCCACGCGCCCCCGCCTCCCTGATTTTGTTTGCTCGTGTCTCCTTCACTCCTCACTACCACCGAGAACGCCGAAAGTTGGTGCCAGTGAAAAGCTTCAAGCACCACGAACCTTTTCCACCATTTACAGACAAAACCATCAGCAGCACATCCTCATATTCCACTGAGTCGCGTCCTTTAGCCCGAAAGAAGCTAAACCAGCTGAGCTGCTTGAGAAGTGCGCTGTTTTATGCAAATGAGCCATGCGCTTAAGTTTCGTTTCTGTAAAATGTAAACACACGTGCGCAAAAACTGCATTAAACACATTATTATCTCAAACGGGCTGATGTGGCTCTAGAGTCGTTATGCTTTATATCTTGTAAAGTTTAGCAATGTAAAGTTTATTTATGCAGAAGATTTTAATTAATCTGTTGCAGTGTCACTTGTGCAACAGTGTTTGGAATCGTTGGGTTTGATCTGCAGTGGATTGTGGGAAACCTCACAGCTCCTTACTGCTGGATAAGAACATGGATCTATTAAAATAAGGAACATCCTGAGCTTCCTCTGCTAAAGGAGCTCACGGTTATGATTATGGTTTGAATAACAGAGTTAATGCAAAGATGAGCTTGTGTTGAGTTGTTTTATTTATGAATGAAAAGAAAGAAATATGTATTATTTCTTTTATTTTACAGTTAAATTATTATTTATGTAATTAGGGTTTTTTGTAATCTTAAATGTTCCTATATGAACTGCCGACCTCTTACACTTCAATTTAAAAAAAAAGACCTTGTGGAATTTGGCATATTTGTTTTTGCAGTTTTCAGTTTTAGGGGGTTATTTTTTCTTGAACATATATCGAGATATATATCGTATATCGAGATATAGCAAAATATATCGAGATATATTTTTTTATCCATATCGCCCAGCCCTAGGTTATGTTACTCTTGTACCTTTGAACAAGACACACACTCTACATTTCTTCCTGAATAATTGTGTGGAGACACTGTTTGCTCAGTATAGTTGTCACAACTGTCAGTCTGTCACAGATCAAAGGTAAAAGGAAATTGGTTCTTAATAGAGGGTAATCCTGTGGTGCATTTACTGACACTGGATTTTTTTATTTTATTTTTTTTTCCAGAGCAAAGAAGGGAAGAGCCCCTTGCACATGGCAGCCATTCATGGGCGCTTTACACGCTCTCAGATCCTCATTCAAAATGGTAAAATTTCTGATCAAGTTTAAATTGTTTTTGTCAGGTTCTTCGATTGGCTTATTTTCCTCCTGTGTTTTTCAGGTGGGGAAATAGATAGTGTGGATAAGTATGGCAATACTCCTCTCCATGTTGCTGCTAAGTATGGCCATGAATTGCTGATCAGCACTCTGATGACCAATGGAGCAGACACGGCCAGGTATCTAAAACCTCTTATCAAAAATGCATTCAGCCAGTCTGTTATATGTGGTAGAGGTGAGCCATATACAGTTATATAAGATAGGTTGTTTATAACAAAAACTCGGTATTTATTAAAAATAATGTAAACAATACTCTCCATGTAATGTTCTAAGTATGGGTATAAAGCCATATTTAGATAGCGTATTTTCCAGTTCTTTCATATTGCTGAAATACCCTAACCTCAACTTCTTTCAACTATCAACTATCATCCATAACTATAATAAGCATAAGCATACTAATAATGCTTTGCAGTTGTAATGTGCTTTTCAGGCTTGTCGAAGCCCCTCAAAGTGCTACACTGTTGTCATTATTCAATGTAGTTACTATTGTAGCCACAGCTGCCCTGAGGCAGACTGATGGAATCCACTCTGTGCCATTGGCCCCCCCGACCACCACCAATCATGCATGCGCACGCCACTTACATACTAGCCAATGGGGGCGAAGTGTCTTGCCTAAGGACACAATGATAGAACTTGGTCCAAATGGGAATCAACCACTGCTCTAACCACTGAGCTTACCAACCATACAATTTCAGAAAAGAAGTGCTTTTACACATAATTCTTTTTTTTTCTTCTTAGACGTGGGATCCATGGAATGTTCCCTTTGCACTTAGCTGTGCTGTACGGGTTTTCAGACTGTTGTCGCAAGTTACTCTCCTCAGGTTTGTAATTGTTTTTATAAAGTATTCCTATGATCCTCTTCATATAGAATCTGTTAAATTATATATTTATTATTATTTTACTATTTACTATCAGTCAAATATGCTTTCTGTCCCCCACTACAGGTCAGCTGTATAGTATAGTTTCCTCTATGAGTAAAGAGCACGTACTATCAGCTGGGTTCGACATTAATACCCCGGACAACTTTGGGAGGACCTGCCTACACGCTGCTGCCTCTGGAGGGTAAGAGGTTTTTTTTGTTGTTTTTTTTACAAAATGTTCCTGCTGTTTACTGCCACCAAAAGGTATTTATTATTACATGTTTTCTCATCTCGTATGTAAAAATATATCTCAGCAATTTATAAAATACTTTGTTGATTTTGTTGACATGATTAGTTGTTGTTTACAGAATGAGAAGGAATTCAGTCTTATTTTAGTGATATAAAGCCTAATCAGACTGTGAGGTTTTAACTTTTGTCACTTCAGTTGTTTCTTTTACAAACTATTTAATCAAACCATACTCAATTAAATCTAAATGTTTGTCTTCACAGAAACGTTGAATGTCTGAACTTGCTCTTAAGCAGTGGTACTGACTTGAATAAGAGGGACTTAATGGGAAGGTTGGTCATCTTCTACAGAGTATTACATATGTATTACAGTTAACGTGAGTAAATGTTCCTCTGTATTTAACCCCTCTTCTGTGCAGGACACCGTTGCACTATGCGGCTGCTAATGGGAGGTACCAGTGCACTGTGGCCCTGGTGAGCGCTGGCGCTGAGGTCAATGAGGCGGACCAAACCGGCTGCACCCCCCTGCACTACTCTGCGGCCTCCCAAGCCTTCAGCAGGTACAGACCAGAGGTCTGAAGTAGGGATGGGCATGATTAATCGATTAATCGATAATTGATCATTAAGAATTTCATCGATTACGTTAATTTTAATCGACAAACCGAATGTAGATTGCTGTGCGTAGCGTGACCAAACGGGTCCATACATGTGTCTCTCTGCACTCAGAAGGAGCGTACCGAAGCACAAATGCGTATTTAACGATGATTTGTACAAGAAATTCTATGCTTTCCGTTGCGTTCGGGACAAGTGGGAGTCCATGTGCACAGTGTACAAAGCAGGAACATATATTTCGGTGTCCAGTGGGAAAAAGCTTTACCAGGTGAGAGTCGCGCAATGTTGATGACGAGTCCCCACCCCCGTACGGTGTCCTGGTTTTGTCAAACGCAAATCTGGTCACACTAACCTGTATTCCACTGAATCATGTCTTTTAATCCGACAGAAATTGACCGCATCAGCGACACAAGAGCTGTAGTTTTATCTTCGCTGAGTTTATGCAAATTAGCGATGCGGTTTTAAGTTTCGTTTCTGTGAGAGTTGCGCAAAACTGAATTAAACACATTATAATGTCAAACGGATTGATGTGGCTCTAGAGTCGTTACGGTTTATATGTCGTAAAGTTGAATTTATTTATGCAGGTTAGTAGTGCAGATAGTAATAATAATGATGATCATTTTAATATAAAAACGTTAATGATTAATCGATAATCGATCGTTAATTCTTCCGATGATCGATTAAGAAAATTTCATCGAATGCCCATCCCTAGTCTGAAGTGATGGGCCTGTCACTGAAGATATGAAGTTTGAGTGGATTATCATGAAATGAAATATTGTTAAAATCTTTTTTGTCAGGGTTATTGACCCTTTTACCTGTAATATAGTGGACAAAACCTAATGAATTACCTTTTGATTAAAGTTTTACTATGTAACCTTTCTGGTATAGGGTCTCCCACATGCTTGTTTCAATGGAGATGTTGTGCTTTGCAGAGAATTTTGACATTACAGCATTAAAATATATCATTGTTGCGGATATTAAAACCAGTGTTTTTATTGCTTGCTGGAGGAGCATAAGTTTAATGCTATGCTGTGGGACAAAAAACATCTCTATGGAGATGGTGGTGGCAGGTGGTGAACCAGCATATAATTAGATCCTTTATTATCCCTCTGCAATTATGAAAGGCAAAAATATGCACTTAACATCATGTTAATTTACATTTTTAGAGTCGATCGTCAATTTTCTGGAACTCATCAGAATAATGAAGATGAAGCAAAGGAATCATACTTGTGAGTTTCTCTGGGTTCAGTGAATACGGTTATCTGGGTTTTGTAATGTACACTATATGTATTTATTTCTTTACCAGCTGCTTGGAGCATCTTCTGGACAATGGAGCCGATCCTTCAATGGTCAATGCAAAGGGTTACAGCGCTGTTCACTATGCAGCTTATCATGGAAACAAACAAAACCTGGAGTTGGTAGGTTATCATGAGTATTATTTAATCTCTTAAAGAGAGATTAAAGGGACCATACCTGATTTAAAAAAAAAATAATAAAATTATAATGTGGTGAACCAGGAAGTAACACTGGGACAATGTTTGCATCCTGGTTGTTCTTAGCTTTTTTTACTCTGCCCTTTGAAAGTTGTAAAAACCATCTTCAAACTTAAAAACGCAAAAAAAAAAACAACAATAGTTTGTTTTAGTTCATTTTTAAGACTGTAAAAGGCTCTTTTTAAATTACAATGAAAATCTAATGTATGTTTTTTGTCCTTTTTTAGCTTCTGGAGATGTCCTTCAATGCACTAGGAGACATAGAAAGTAGTATTCCTGTCAGCCCCCTCCATCTTGCGGTAAGTTTTACACATGTATTTACTGCATTGTCTGTTCTCCTTAGACTTTAACAAACTTCATTCATTCACAAGGAAAATTTCTTGAATACAGTATCTTTATATATTACTTTATATTAAGAAAGAGCAAAAAATAAAAGTAATGAAATCCAAATGTGAAAATAAAAGCAGCAAAACACTTGAATAAGGCACAAATATACAGATTTGTATATGTATGTATTTGTAAGTTGCATAGTAGTAAATATAAAATAAATCTAGGCTATAAACAATAAACATCTATTGAGATGCTGTACCCTGCATTGAGTTGTGTCTGGTTGTTGTGTTTGTACAGGCGGACGGTGGACATTGGGGAGCGCTGCGTGTCCTGACAGAGACTGCGGCGTATGTGGACATGCAGGACGCGGCAGGCCGATCCGTGCTGTACCTGGCTGCACAGAAAGGCTTTGCTCGCTGTGTGGAAGTGTTGCTGGCTCAGGGCGCCTCCTGTCTACTCAATGACAACCACCTCATGTGGACTCCCATTCATGTTGCAGGTATTTACTGTGTTTTCACAGGAACATGTTAAGTATTGAAATTACATGCTTTTGACATAATGTTGTGTTATCCAACTCTGTAATATGAAATCTGAACATTGTACTTTAATTTTTGTTTTTGATCAAGGATTTACTAGATATAAAGTAACAAATTATGTTGCTATTGCTACATAGCTATAGGTATTCCAAGAGATGATATGCAGTATACAGAATTTTTGCAATTCTGGAACATTTTTGTGGTGGTTAATGTAACTACTGACCTTTGTTTATATGTATGTATGTATATACTGTATGCAACCATTTAATTTGTGTCTTTTCCTATCCCTCAAGCTGCTAATGGTCACGCGGACTGTCTTCGCATGATGATAGATTATGGAGAGGAGGGCGATCTCACCAACGTTGCTGACAAATTTGATCAGTGAGTTTTGTATATTAATTACACTGCGTAGTACTTTGGTGACTTTGTTGGTAAAGTGTGCTATACAAATAAAGGTGGATTGGAATTAGTTTTTTTAAAGAATTTTTTTGTAAGTAAATAAAGTATGCTTCTGTGTGTGCATAGGACTCCTCTGATGCTTGCGGTCTTGGGGGGTCACATCGACTGCGTTCACCTTTTGCTGGAGAAGGGTTCCTCGCCTGAAGCCAAGGACAAGAAGGGCAGCACAGCTTTACACAGGGGGGTATGTGAAGTTTAACCTTTGTCTCCTATATACAAAATATATATATACAAAATATAAGAGACAAGCAGCCAAGGCGTGCGACAGGAGAGATTGAGTCCATGAGAATGAGAAGATAAGATTTTGACATGAATTATAAAGCATAAATTATACGGGTCAGTCACAGTTTTAAGTTGGTATCATTGAAACACTGTTTTTTGGAACAACAGCTTCTCAAGAAATGCGACTCACTATTGCTTACCCCCCTCTTCCTTTTTGTCCTTGTGAAATGTAAACACATGGAAAACAAATCTCACAAGATATTTTCCACACATTCTTGAGGCAATTTTATTTATTCTGCATTTAACCAGGAACGTTCCACTGAGATTTGGAATTTGGAGTCTATGGTACATGTTGTCATCCCATGAGACTGCATTACACAAGATCTTGTACCATCCATAATAAAGGAAAGACTGGCATTCCCTATGCTTCATTTTATTTCCTTTCTCAAACTACCCCTGTGCCCTCTTTTCGGCATTGAACAACACTATTTTGTCTTTCATTATTATTTGTCATGTTGTTGTCTTTTCATCTACCCTACCAGTCAAAAGTTTGAACACACCATCTCATTCGATGTTTTTTTCTTCTTTATTTTTACTACCGTACTTTTTACAGTTTGTATATAGAATACATCAGATATTTTAATAATTATATAGCAAAAAAGGGTAAATAACTACAAAATATTTTTTTTAATCTTGTATTCAAATCCTCTAAGTAGCCACCCTTTGCTTGGTTGAAAAATATTTCGTATTAAGGTTTACTTACTTTTGTTACTTTACTGCATAATTCCAATATCATATATTTGATGTGTTTCATGTGTGTTCTAAGAGAAGAAACACTGAATGAGTATGTCCAGACTTTTGACTGAAAATGTTTTTATTTCTGAATGTTCTTCTGTCTCCATGTGATTGCTTATATAAGCAAATCAATAAAAAAAAACAACTATCCTCTGTCCTCTGCCCAGGCTGTGTTTGGTCACACTGACTGTGTAGCAGCTCTCCTGGATCACAAAGCGTCTGCACTGAGCCGGGACTCCCAGGGTAAGACTCCTCTGCACTACGCCGCGTCTCGAGGCCACGCCCACATCTTGGCCGCGCTGACACAGGCCGCCATCGCCACAGATCCACATGACAAACTGCTGGACAACAAACAATACACACCGCTACACTGGGCTGCGTACAAAGGTATAATCTGTGAATTGATGCTTTCAGAAATGAATTAGTCAATTTTCTGCTAAATATTGGAAATTGGATCAGTTAAATGTAAGTTAAGTGAGTTTTAAATTTCAGTTTATGATTTTGATTCAGCTCTGGTTTTACTGTGTATAATTGTGTAAAAAGAGCTTTGTATAAAACTACATTGCCCTTGTTTCAGGGCATGAAGACTGTTTGGAGGTTTTACTTGAATACAAAACATTTAACCATGAAGAGGGAAACCCTTTCACCCCACTGCACTGTGCTCTGTGAGTATCCAGATGATTACTGGGTCATATTCATCAAATGTTGATGAATGCTCTTTTTTTTAGAATAGATAGTTTTATTTATAGTTAAAATGGCATAACCATTTTAACTATAAATTATAGACATTTAGATTTAATTTACTTTGCTTGTTACTTAATTTTAAATGACCTAAAACAGTGCTGATGATGTATCTTTTCCCCTTAGCATTAATGGCCACAGCGGTGCTGCAGAGAGGCTGCTGGAGTCTGCTGGAGTCCAAATGATAAACACCCGAGATGCCAAAGGAAGGTAAGACTCAATACAGCTCAACTATTAACAGTGGTGCAGTGGAGTAAGCATTCAGTACAAACTGTAAAGGGCCGTTCACACCAAAGCGTCAAAAAACGCCTTGACGCCTCTATTTGGACGCCTTTGCATTTGAGTTTAGACGCCCCCGACGCGCGTTTTTGACGCCGTGGACGAACGGGACAGAAATACTTGACGCGCGTCCGTTGCCCTGGAAACAAGAGCCAGGTCCCGGTCTTTTCCAGAAACAATGTCAGACCAGACTGAGAGAGTGTTTTTATGACATAAAACATCAGCGGAGGAGATCGGGTCGACGACCGGGGCGTATATATATTTATACTCCGCTAATGACACTGGATCAGTCCCGGTCTAGTCCTGGTCTAGTCCTGGTCTAATACCGGTCTAATACCGGTCTAATCACGGTCTAATCACGGTCTAGTCACGGTCTAGTCGTGGTTTAATCTCGGTCTATTCAGGGTCTAGTCCTTGTTTAGTCTTCGGTCTAGTCTCGGTCTACTCCCGGTCTAGTCCTTGTTTAGTCCCGGTCTAGTCCTGGTTTAGTCCTAGTCCGGTCCTGGTATATTCCTTGCGATCGACTCTGGTGATTGTGGCATATATATTTAATCTCCGCTCATGTTTGTGGCTCTCGCTCTGGTTCTCGGGTCTTGCTTCCTGATAATAATGTTGCTGCATCACTGGATACTCGTCCCTGATTGGTTGACGCGACGCGTCTGACGCAAAAAGTTCAGCATTTTCAACTTCTTGACGCTGACGCCTTGGATGCGCGTCTAGACCGCTGACGCCAAAACGCTCAAGATGCGCCGCATCAACGCCAGATTCGCGCCGCGCTGACACCGAAAACGCGCCGCAAAAACGCACAACGCTCTAGTCACGCGTCCACATAGACTTTACATTGAAAGTGGACGCTTTGACGCCTTGGTGTGAACGGCCCTTAAGGTAGCCAGTTTGAGCCTTAATCCTTGGGAAAGGCGCTAAGATTTTTCTTACTCCCGTCTCAGTCTGTCCTTATTGAATATTTTGTATTTATATTATCTTTAAGCATTTTTCCCTCCTTATTGTTTGCATTTTATCATAGTATATATGTACTATTATTCATAGTTATGTTCACTGACAATGGAAAGAAAAGTTATTGTGAAATGGCAGTATTGGGTATTGGTATTTGGGCCATATCTGTGGTATTCTGAAGTACATTTTTAAATAAAACTTATTACAACTTAACTTATATTTATTATAGACAGCCTTTTAGTGGCGTGATGTTTTTCTCTTTTACTGTAATAAAATTGAATAGTGTTTGTCTACTTCTTCACACTCAGTATCAACATATATACTGAGGCCAGGTATTGTATCGTATGAGAACATCATTACACTAATCAAATCCCATTGCACCCTCAATTGAAAGGGATAAGATGAAAACAACAATACATTCAAACAATACAACTTCTGACTTGTTCTTTTAGGATCCCACTGCACGCTGCTGCATTCGCCGAGGATGTGGCCGGACTGCAGCTGATGCTTCGCCACGGAGCTGAAGTAAATGTCGTCGACGACAGCGGGCGCTCAGCTCTGATGGTCGCTGCAGACAGGGGGCACAGCGGAACAGTGGGTGAGTGAGGGAAAGGGGGGAGAGGGAAGAAAAGAGAGGGTGCGAGCGAGAGGGAGAGAAATCAGGACTGAATGTTGTAATGCTACTGTTAAGTATTTTGTTTTGTTACAGCCATCCTCCTCCATCGGGCCAAGGCTGATCTGACTTTGCTGGATGAGAATAAGAACACTGCCCTGCACTTGGCCTGCAGCAAGGTACGGCAGTGGATACAGTTTGATCTATTGTACTGTACTGTAACCCTTGTAGTTATTTTGCACATTAATTGTTTTGTTTTCTCAGGCTCATGAGATGTGTGCCTTGGTGATTCTTGGGGAGATCCACAATCCCACTCTAATAAACGCCACCAATAGTGCTCTGCAAATGTGAGAACCCTGAAGACGCAATCACAGCATAATTGTCATAGTTTCAGTTTGTTTGACATATCCCTCTCCCTCAGGCCTCTCCATCTCGCGGCTCGTAATGGTCTGTCCACTGTAGTTCAGGCACTTCTGAGCAGAGGAGCCACTGTGCTGGCCCTGGATGAGGAAGGTCAGTCTCATTCATGCTCACACATAAACTGCACTTTTGTGTTGTAATGGTGGTTAGATTTTACTGTCTCCTCCCTGTGGTAGAGAAGTGGGAAAAACTCACAGGTGATAAAGAGGCTGATATCTTCTTATGCCAAATCAAAGTTTTGGAGCTTTCTACCATGTTATAATGTTGTTTCCTCGAAAACATACCTGAAGTGGACAGAACGAAGACTGTGATTTCACCCTTAATTGACTTTTTGAACCTGTGGCCAAATATCTGCGTCAGTAATGTATATTTTGTTGTACCAGGTCACACGCCAGCCCTTGCCTGTGCCCCCAACAAAGACGTGGCCGACTGCCTGGCTCTGATCCTCTCTACCATGAAGCCTTTCCCCGCGCGGGACCCTCCCTCCTCCTGCTCCTGCTCCCCCCCCTCCGTCTCGCCCTCCCCAGGTCTCAACATACTCAAGCACTGCGGCATCACTGCTGCCTGCACCCCGCTGCCTAGCAACGGCCTCCACAACGGCTACGTCAAAGAGCGTCACGGCGCAGCGGTGGGGTTAGATGGGTGCTTGACCGAGTGAGAGCGAATCCCCCCCACACCCACCTGAGGCTGCTATCTCCACCAACACCACCAGGGGGCGCCTCCCTTTAACACGGCCGGAGAGAGCACCCACTGTCCCTGTTCTATGTATGTATGTGCCGTGGGTCATGTGCGTGTGAATGTCTGGTCTTCTCTTGAGGTGCAGTCAAACCTATTATGCAATTAGAGTCCATTCCTTCATTTCTTAGTAGTGCTTAATACGTGGAGGCAAATCGCTCTACTAGGTCACTCGGCTGAAGTCTGGCAACTAAACAAAAAAACAAACTTTACTAATCTGACCTTTTTGAAATGACGTAACCCTTTAAAATAACGCTGAAATAACTAAAACTCCAATTGCATGTAGCTTTAAGCAGTGACTGTCATATCATGCTCTGCTGTGGTGACCTGGTAGAGTCAACAATCACCCCTAAAGAATGATCAAAGACTTAATAATAATAATAATAATAATATTTAACTTTTTTTTTTTTGCTTTTTTGTTTTACTCATCCATTAGATTCTTATGAAGGAACCACACAAGGGAAAATTTAGCTTCTGAGTGCAATACAGTACAATCCGAATTGGAAAAGGGTCGAAAAGATGTTAGTCCCATTGTGTACTTTTAATTAATGCACGGCCTCAAATTGTTTGGCATTTAATATGATTTGGTTTTGCTGCTGAATATAAAACTTCATGTTGGGGTCTGCGTTGTTACATCTACCTTATCCGTAACGCTAACGACCCGCTATTTTAAGAGATGCTAAGTGTTTGTTAAGCTAGAATGTTTCTAAGCATATAAGTTATGACCAAAGTTGATCAACACTACTATGGCTATAAAATTATTTATTTGAGATGAACTGTACTGTATAGAGAGACAATAGATCTTGAAATACCTCGTCAACTCGTTTAGCAGCTGCTTCATCTTTCACCAGGGTCCATAGTTCTAGGTTCTCAATGGGGAACTAGAGTAGGATAGTGACTGACAGAGGCCTTGTTTATTTAGATGAAGGCTTTACTAGTAATGTCCAGGCTCGGGTCTACAGAGGTACAAAAGGGTGCATCACAATCTCATTTAAAGTAGTTTGCATCCAAGGTGCATAAATTAATGATACTTAATTGAAGAGTATTGTCTTTGCACCCTTATGCACCCACAGTCAGTTTGGTCTGCACCCGGGCCTGGTAATATCTGCCAACAACACCTCATCGAAGCATTGTATCTCTGAGCACATAAATGAACAAGCCATTTCAATTCTCCCATCTCGCAACAGTGTTTTAAAAAAAAAAAAAAAAATCGAAATTTAAAACAGCCGAAATATTTAAGGAGTGATCAGATTTGAGGTTTTTAGGCACCAACCAGTCATCAGCATTTTACGCTTGTTTTTACAACTCTGACAAAAGAGTATTTTCGAAGCTGGTGAACTAGTCTTAAAAATCAAATCTCTCGACTTGTCTGTGGTCGCCTCTGATCAGTTTGAAAAGTTAAGTATTATTTGATATTTATATTGGACAGTTTTCAAGCAATATTTTGTTTTTTGCCTTTTTTGTTAATGTTATTGAATAGACAATCACTGTCACAAGGGCTTTTGTTTCCCTGGAATGTGTTTGCTTTTGTTTAATTATAATTTTTTTCTTTTATTGTTTCATGAAGACTAACCTAAAGACTAAACGAATGGCTCTGTGTGTGCTGGGCATTTTACTGTCAGTGTCAACTCAAATGCACTGGATTGCCTTTACGGCATCTCATGAAATGCCTTTTGACCCATGCCTTCTGTAACACATCATTTCATGTATTGTTTCATAGGACAAGGTCTAACATGGCTTATCTTCTCACAAATTATATTGGCAGCACATTAAACCACGATTGCACCATAGTTTGTCATAGAGAAATGCCAGGGAGAGGACACCTAGCTTATCCTGGCATTTGCTTTGACCAGGGTGTTCAAACCCTCAATAAAAACAAATGGGGCTAAACGAATCGCAGAGGGAAATTTTGCTTAATTGTACTCGTTTATCAGGAAAAGCAGAATTCCAAATATGTGATCATATGTTAGATATTCATTATTGGTTTTTACTCAGAATGATTGTAACGGACCACTAGAGCTGTTTGTGACTTAGATGTTATATCTATGCTATTTTTCTTTTTTTTTTTTTTTTTTTTTCCACCAACTGGTGGTAAAAAAAGTCAAATGTTTTCATTGGCGTGATCGCTTCATATCCAAGGTGTGAAGTGGCACAGTTGCACACATTAGCTGACTGGATGAGAGAGGACCTAGACTAGGCTTTGTAGTGTATTCCCCAAAATGTCTTTCATTTTCCTGAACGAACCCTGACAATAGTGTCCTCTAGGTGGCGTTATAGTTAGACTTCTGTGACTGAAATGAAATGGAAGTAACTAGAAAACCACAGCCTTTATTCTCTTAATAATTTTTCATGAGAACGTAAATATTCTTATCATTAATATTAGGATTAGGAACAGTTGTTTGTAATCTCAGGATCTGTGCTAAAGCAGTGGACAGAATTTGTGAATCCAATCAAAATGCAGCCGATTCTTTGTCGACATTTTGTGATGATCAGTTTCATTTTGATCCCAGCACTTAATTAGTAAAGCACGCACTTTAGTGCATTCAGGTTCTAATTGTGCAACTAGAGCAGAGTAATGTATGTACTTATGTTTACATGCATGTGTGTTGCTGCTAAAACAACATGGTGTCTGATAAAAGCAAATAATTCTTTTAACCAAGCGTTCTCTGAGCACTTCAGGACAGTGTCCACTGCCCTCTGGCTTCACAGTGAAAGAGTTTAATACTGAGGCTGTATACTGGAGCCTCTCACTGCAGTCAGTGATACCACAGACGCTCCACACTGCCCTCTGCAGGTGCAGTCTGTCTGGGCAGGGATCTATCCACAGTGATGTCTTTACACCAGTTCACGGAGCCATTTCCCTTGCAGCTAAAGCGTCACAGTATTCTTATATCTGCTTTTTATTTGTGTGATAATATCTGAGTGACTGTGCATGAAGTTAGCTTATGTTCTGCTGCTGAAGCAGAGCTAGTAAAGTGTAAACTATGTATGGAGTCAGAAATGAAAAGCAATGAAAGGTCCAATTGTAGCAATAGTGTGTGTGTAATAATGTGCAGCACAAATCTTGCACTGCCATCAATTTAGGCCAATTCAGTAAATTATAACCTAAATGCCAATGGAAGATTTCAATGCGGGTTAGATGTTCTAATCTTTGGTCACAGAAAAGGCCTTTTTGCCAAAACGAGTCGAGCAGAATGAGTTTATGCATTTGTTCAAGCCGTTTACAGTCTGACCATCAATCTGAGCCATGAATCTCGTGACTGAACTGAATGTGGGGTCTGTTTAGGGCGGGCTTTAGTTCCTCCTGTCTTTAAACTATGGCTCTTCATTTGTCTTGCATAGATATGATTCTATCGGTAGCATGTAAAACTGTATTCTTTTAAATGAGACCGTGTGTGTAGTACCAGTAGTCTTCCTGGATAGAGGATCTGGATATGTTTGTGGCATTATTTTGGGTGTCTGGGCTTGCTAATGTGTACTTTCACCTTTCTTTCTCTCTCTCTCTTCATATATTTTCATTTGTGCTATGAATTAACATTGATATCTATCCATTCCATTGAGATTGCCTTACATTACAGCAAATACAGAGGGACAGAAAGGACTTACGGTTAATCTAGACACATGCACTCGTAAAGAGCCTACACCTAAGTAGTGCCATAGAAACCTTTATTTGCCTTTAGACATAATTCATAGTTACTCACATATACAGTTACATTGTGTTAAAAGCTTAGCCAATTACGCTAACAAATGGTACCGCATGAATTTTAGTACTGAAAATGCAAGCTTTCTCTTCACTTTTATCATCAGATAATTTTTTTAATTGGGAATTATTAAATATTGTTTGCCCATTATTTATATATTAATAAAGCAGTTCATGAGTTGTATGGCTGTTTAGCAGGTTTGAAATATGTAAAAAAAAAAATATTGATGTCCATTAATTGCATATAGTTGTACAAATTAGTTGCCTCAAAAGGATGTCTTGGTTCTTACTTGAAACACTGACAAATTCAATTTAACTCTCTGATCCACTGTTGAGCCTTTTGCCTTAAAAGCTAACAAGAAATATACCTGGCAGTACCTGATAATATTCGCGTCTCCCATAGAGTTATGCTACTTGCTTGGATTGCTTAAGATATTGGCTAATTTTGGTCTTAAAGATACCTGCTTTGGGTGTCAACAAAGCACACAACGAATTGGGGTAGCACATAGCTCAAGGTTGCCATGGTGCAGAGATTGTTTTGAAGTTGGGATAACGCCATATTAGCCACTGTGAATGAATGAATCCACTTAGAAACAATCAAAAAGTTGGTGTCTCGTATTGAAATCTTACAGATGCCGAGGAGATGGTGGTTGAAATCTATAGGAAATCTGATGTCGAATGAAAAAAAAAAAATTGAACTTTTCTTGTACAGCTGTTAACAAAGTAATATAGTGTGATTCATGTAGTTGTGGATAGTGTAATTCTGCTTAAACCAGCCTAAATCTGAAATGTATGTGCATAGCGTTTCCATGTCCTTTGAGAGGAGCATGAAGTTGCACCTTGTGTTTTTATTGGACCTGCAGTTATACCTCACCAGTCAAAGCTGAGATGATCCTCTGTCACTCTCCATCTACTTTATGCCAATTATGTTTTTTTTTTCTTTAGTATTGAGTGTGATTGTAATCTAGGCATGTCTTACTCTAACATGCTAAGTTCCCTTTTAGTGTAGACAGCATAAGACCCCACTTAAATGTTTATCTCATCATAACTAATAGAATAGTCATGCCGAAGCCTATTGGGGAAAAGAAGGTAGCTAATAAACTTTACCTCTGCATGTTGGGATGATACTCCTTTACTGTATGACTAATGCTAGTTGACCACCTTCCCTGCCTAAACACTGGCTCCTCCCCAACCTGTAGGATCTGTGTCATTTGAAGCACAGCGGTGGCATGGTGCCTTTATATGTTACTACCGAAAGGTACGGTCTTCCATTTGTATTTCCCAAAAGCCTTACAATGGGAAAAGAAACACTGAACCAAGGCTACAGTGGCTGGTGCATTTCACAGGAAAGAGTGGTTATTTCAAACCTGCATCAAAGTTTTTGCAACAAAGCTTAAAGGTGCATAATGGAATTTTCTGATGGAGGATCTGCCAACCTATTGTCTCCTGTAATGTTCTAGTGTTCCATAGTATGGCATTAATCTTGCATTTATTCAATTACAGGGTGTTTTATTGATAAAAAATACTTGAAAATCATGCATTCTATCTTTGAGCGAGTTTGCCTCTTCACAGATCTGACCTGCAACTTGGCCTGGTTATGTCACCTGCCTGTTTCCATGGGAATGCATACATTTAATGCCATACTGTGGAACATTGCTGGCAAAGGACTGACATCTCCACATCTGAATCAGTTGTATAGTACACCTTTAAATACTTCTGAATAGGTGATTAATTCTTATAGAGCGCACCCTTAAGGTGGCTGGATGAATTGCACATAGCGATGCAATAATAGGGCACATTACCATTACATTGATCTGGATCAATGAAAGCACAAACCCAAAGAAGGCACCTGAGGCTCAGTTGGCTTTTCTGACACCAGTGGCAAAAGGAGTCTTCACCAAATTCAAACATAAACTCGACTCCTGATGCTGAAAACAATCAGCTTTGATTGTCCGTTAGACATTAACTGTAGAAAGACCGCTGTCTGGAGTTTCCTGATTGTCCTTGTTGCTCTTTTGCTTTATTTCATCAGTAATTAGTAACTTTAAACACAGTTGTCCAATGCGGTACGTGCATTCTGGATCATGTTTGTTGTGGCTGTGTTGCGATTTGATTGTGGATATTTTCTGTTGACTTTAGGGTAGACTGACTAGGTTTGCAGTACTAGTTGTGTGCAGTGTTAATAACGGTGTGATCATATTCTAGGAGTGACGTAAAATTTGTTGTCTTACTGCGAAATATGGCATGAATCATTTTGTCAAAGCTGACCTCGTTTGAAACAGACAAAAGATAAAAGTGCAATAACATTTTGTTTCATTGCTTCCTCAGTTGAATATCTCTATTTTTATGCCCTATTTTGTTATCACCAAAAGTCACACGTCTGTAGCAAATGAAGGATTCCTCTGGTCCTCCTGTTTGGTTCAGAAGTGGCATTGGAACGTCGTGTGTTTATTCCATTTTTAAAACTGTGATCTATATCAAACTTTAGACGCTGCCTGCTCAGAAAAGGACCGTGCACAAGTTAACTTATATGTTTGAGTAGGTGAGTGTATGATGGGCTTTGATGGTAATGTAGATTAAACCTATTTCCTTGAATTCTGGTTTCTAGTCAGTAGACCTGTTAATTTGCATGTGTAGATGTATTATATGCATCCTCCTCCTTGAATGAAATGTTTTCTCAAAAATATTTAGACCTGCTGTCAGTGACGTATGCGGATAAAAGGACTTTGAAATGCCTTATATTTGTTTTATTGTTAAGCATTAAGGGTGATAAGCCCTCCCTTTTCAGAGTGTAGCCTATAGCCTGTATAGACTCTTGAGATTTGTATCTGCTGTTTAGCCCAGTGTTTGTGATTGTGGTTTAGAAACATTCCCCTGAAAGTGCCGTTTGTTCACCAGCAGAGGGAGCTGTGGGGAAAAGTGTTGAAGGGAAAAAGCTGCAGTGTTTAAATGAACCCCAGAGAAAGAGGAGTATTTTGCAGGTGAAATGAGGCCGCAGTCTGAAGGAGCACCTTAGCGACTCGCCCGGGCGCGGGTCCCAGCTGGAGTACTCTAAAAGCAGAGCCATATCAGAGAATTGTCCCAATAGGAGCCCCTTGAATGTGCTATTAGAAATAGCCTACTGTAGTTAAGGATGTATTCTGCATGTTCTGTGACATAGTGGTATTAGTCCCTTTTTGTTTTGTTTAGTCACCTTCACTGTAGATGTTGCCTCTTCATTGAAACTTCCGAGCTATTAACAATCCTCTCTCAACTGGACTAAAGCAGACGAGATCTGCTGCGAAGGCAGCCTTAAATCTTTGCCAGTTCTTGACCTGTCGGATATAAGGGGTTTCTCACTTTGAGTGGCTTATCTAGAGAGGCCCTTTTGAGTGGAAGGACTGTGGATCAGGGCGTGTGACAGTTACAATCAGATGTTTTCAGTGCACCTTCTCGATTCTTACGAACGTTGGCTCGTCCACCAACATTCCAAAGCTGATCTGGTCACAGTGAAGTCCCATTGATAAAGTCCTTTGGCTTTGCTGATGAATGACGTAAGCGTGTGTGTCTTTGACAGGGTCCCTATTAGCCTAACGTCGATTACCTCATTTTAAAGTCTGCAAATATACTACTCTACTGTGTGTAAAGGAGTCAATGCCATCACCAGCAGCGCGGTCTCCGGACCTGTGATGACAGGACCAACAAGTCAACATTAGCCAAATTTACACATCACCAGTTTTAGTCAATAGTGCTTAGACATGTTTCAACATTTTTACTGGCAAAAAGGGCCTAGAGTTTATCAGTTTGCAAATAACTACAGGTGCTTCAAGACTAGTCAGCATCTGAACCAAGTGCAAGTCCTTCACCAAAGTTTGAAAAGTTACGGTTTCTAGAGTCCACTGCTTCTCACGCGCTGACTGGCAATAGCACCTTTGGTTATTAGCTGTGTTTTAATGCTGCGCTAAAACCAGATGTGTTTATTACATATTTAAATGAAATCATGTTGGCATCACTTGCTGTTTTCAGTAGCATTTCTCCTACCTCTTTGTTTTGCAGCCTTGAATATTGTTTGTCCACCTGTTTCGACAAAGTACAGGAATACAGATTTATTACAAGCAATGGTAGTTATTCAAGTGTGGTCGTGTTGTATGTGTGTGTCTATTGACATTGGAAAAAATATTTATGAGAAGCATTTATATGACACAATACCACTGGAATGTGAAGCCAGACAATGTTTTAATGCAGATTGATGATAGTCTACCCCCTTTAACTTGCAGTGGTGAGTGGTCAGATAATCAATGCATCTGGCTTTTAAATTATGTCTTAAAGATGCATGTAACTTTTCTGATGGACGGTCTGTCACCTGTTTGTCTCGTGCAAGTGCTATTGCTTTGCCTGGAATATTCCACAGTATGGCATTAAACCAAACCTATTACCTTTTACTCAATTACTGATCTTTCTGTTCTTGTGTTTCAACTTCTTACTGTAGATGGCATTTTTGAGACTATTCATAATTCAAAAGATATAATATTTTGGTTTAAAATGTCAATATCTATGTCAACCGTAGTGTTTTCATCAGGCTAAAACCCGTGGATTACAAAAAAAAATACTTGGGTTTGTAAGAGTCACTTGCTTGTCTCCATGGAGATAGCAAAGTTTTATACCATACTGTGGAACATTCTAAGAAAACATTTCAGATACTCCACCTAAAAACTTGCATCATACCTCTTTAAATTTTGCATTAAAACATCACCACTGTCTTGCTTTTAAGTGTATTACAACATTACAGCTTCACTCGGGGTCAGCTATTGATCGCCCTGCAGTTAAATGAATTGAAGAGCTTGTCTAAAGAGGTGGATTTGTAAAATCTGTAGAGGGTCAGTTTGCCTTTTGACACCCATTTAACCACTTTAAAACCAAATTCTGCTACCTAAGCGTCGTCTACATACGGCCCTGTGTTACAAATCAGTCTGACGAAAGGGGTGAAAGACGAGGTGAACGGTTTGAGGTTTTCTGGCCTGATCCTGGCCCGGTGTTTTCCATAACCAAAACTCAAGTTAAGCTGTCAGCATTGACCAAAATACAAGCTGGACAATAACAAAGTGCAAATGTTTTTTTGTCTTCTAAACTGGCATTAAAATTTTTAATAACTGGACAGCTTGAGAAGTAAATAAAGACGGTAATTGGTATTTTAAATCCCTTTTTTAAAAATTTTGATTGAATGTTTTTAATAAGTATGTTTAATTAAGCATCATTGTATAACCAGGACAGGACCAGCCCACTTCAGATAACACACTGTCTTACCTAAACCTCAAGCCATTCATTTTTCTGTTTTACTTTTTTGTTAATTTCTTTTTTTTTTTTTTTTTTTTTTTCGACAATGCAATCCTGAAAGCACTTTGCCTTGTTGTTCTTTGTGTGAACATGTGAATGATGATTTGTTACAATTGTTAATATTATAATAATATGTAAAAGATCATTCACTGTTTTGGAAAAACCTGCATCTGTCTTTCTGACGTTAAAAGAATAACTAAAAAAAGTGACATTAAACCGGAATCTATTTTATAAAATGTTTGCTGCAGCCAATTGGTCTTGTCATTCAGTATTGTGGCTTAGGGTTGTTTGTGTTCAATAAAGTGCTATTGCTAAATATTTACTGATTGTGTTGTGGTTCTTTATCGTAAAAATGTGTGAATTTTGTATAATGTGAATGTATAAATTTGCAAAAAGTTTTTATATATTTACAAAACATTTGTGATGTGTGTTTTAATCAACAAGCGAACCTAAAGTAGGCTAATCCACAAGAGGTACTCCAGAGAAAGTGCAGAAGACTAATATGGGACAGTCACTCATCCTATCATGCATGTATTTAACCTTTAATTTTAACAGCAATATAAGATTTGAATTCTTCCTGGCCCCAGTGAGTAGAAAGAAGACAGGAATTTTCACAGAGGCAGATGCACGAAGAACTGTACACACAGGCCACACAAAAGTGATGACCACTGACCACTACTATACCCACTGCCGTACCATCCTAAAACATGGTGTCTTAATTTATTCTTAAATTGTCCTTTAACTTGTAGTTGTCCGTATCATAAGGTATAGTTTGCCTAGCAAAACCAGAATGCTATCACTTTGTAAAGTATTGAAGTGTGTATTCTGGATCTCAGGCAAAGGTATTTGAGAACAGAATGGAAATTTATTGAAATGTAATAGCTTGTTTTGAAGTGAAAATGGAACATTTCCTTTTTTATAATATGCATGTCTTTTTGCAGCAAATGTTCAAACTAGCAAATTAAAATCAATAGCCTTATGAGTTTGTATTGCCTGAAGCTTCTGGCTTTATTCTATCCAACAATTTAGCTGTAAATATCAGGTTACTTTTGGGTTTGCAATGGAATTCATACATGCAAGACTGGTTCTCTGAGTCTATCATCAGGAAACAAATCATGAGCTCTTATCTTCTGTTTGACACATCACAAAATGGCGCCTATCTTGTAATGCGTCTTAAGGTTCTATTTTGGCATTAATTTGATAAAGCTATATCAAAATCCTACTAAGTAGAACAACAAGAGATGCTCAACAAAAACACCACAATAGTATTATAATAATATTATTAGAGAAGTAGAGAAAATCTGCAATGGAAACAAAATAGCTAATATAGAGAATATTTCGGAGTAGAATATAAAATTACCATTTATAAAGCTAAAAACCTTGTAAGTCAAAGGAGCTACAACCCTCTTCCAGAGTTTGGAACGTCATCACGTACGGAGCGACGTCCCGTATCACAGACGACGCAGACTGTAGGAGGATGTAGCTTGGACGTGGCTAACACAGAAGTACAAGAAAAAAATACAATCGCACCGTAAAACTCTATTCAGGATCTGTTATACCAAATGTTTCTGTAAGTATTTACTCGAATACTGTATTATTGGATCACAGCTGTTGGTTAAATGAGTTAATTCGGCGTAAAAGCCTGAGGTTATGTTTTTCCTTGGTTAGCTCCTATGCTAACTAAATCAGCCCGTGGGTACTGTACAGTAGACAGTGCTAATTATCAGTCTGTAGCAATGAAATGCTTACGATCTCAAATTATCATGAAATAAAAGTAATAGCGTTTGTGATTTTGTGTTTGTGTACATTTCCTGGTGTGTCATATCCTTTGCTAAATGTTGACTGTCTAAATGTTAAAGGTGTTTGCTGCCTTGCATAAAACGACTACATTATTTAGCATCAGGCGGTTAGCTTGTTTGCAAGACATGTTGAGCCCTTGAGAATAAACTTGCCACTCCAGACCAGTGTTGGTTGCAACCACAGAAATTGGATCAGACGCTGACCTTGGAAAGTATTATTTCCTCTGATTCAATTTTCTATCACTTTTTGTGTATGTGTGTTTTTTATGTGGTATGTGTGAACGTGGTAAATTTCGCATTTTTGTGCAAACTTAAAACTTTAGGCATTGTAAGGTGTTACCAAATGTTAATTTTATATTTAAACCTAGTAAGTGTCCCTTTTAAGGGGATGTCATATGCTGGGTGTGCACTTGAATACAAATGAACATTTAGAGTTTATAGTTGTTGTAACTGAAAGGGCTCATAATGCGCTATTTTCTGTTATAATCTTTTTTCCTCATTACAACATACCATAACTGTTAAACGGTATACGTTACTAGAAACATTTAGATGATTTCAGCCCTGGAAATGACTATCTCTACTGAACTAAAGGCAATAGGTAGCTGTTAACATGAAAACTACCACTACATCACCTCATGAGGTGGAACAAAGCATTTTGATTTTGGAGATGTAGACAGACTAACAATAAACAATTAGTCTAAATGTAATGAAATGAAATGAAACAAAACACAACCCCGGGTATGTTTTTAATGAGGAAACAACATTCTAACATGGCTTAAAGCTCACAAGAATTAATTTTGTGTTATAAAGGACCTTGAAAGACCAAAAATTCAATAAGTAATTTAAGTGAATTAAGTGCCCTCTGTTATTTTGCTATATTTTGCTATGATTTTATTGTACAAACTTTCCTATGCATCCATTTTGTCAACAGGCTTGCCTTTTCACAAACTTGACCTGTAACTTGGCCACCTACCCATCTTTATGGAGCTGTTATGACTTTGCCTGAGATGTTGCACAGAATGACATAAACCGTACCTATCTCCATGAAAAAAGTTTGGCTTTATGCAGTGCGGTGTTGATGTTATTGTATTTTGCAGGAATTCTCTTCTTTTGGAAGGATGTCATTAACTTACCATAAATGACTTGCTGGTGCTGAATGGAAATTTTAAAAGACATTTGTGACTGAGGTAATTTTGGAAATTCTTGTTGTTGAAATATCTGTGCTGTCTAAGTTTTCTGTAGCTTTATATTTACTCCTTTTTCTCAGGAGGCCAGGGGTCCCAGGAATGTACCATGGGGTATGACGTCACCAGATTTACAGGGGAGGTGGATGAAGACCTCCTGTGCCCGATCTGTAGTGGCGTTCTAGAGGAGCCAGTCCAGGTGAAGTTTTAGTTGACAGAGATGTCACAATTAAATTTTTTTATGTTATAATTATTGTGAGAAAATGCATCAAGTGTTGCAATTGTCATTATCAGTTGCCAATTGTATTGTATTGCAATGAGTATATTTGCTTTTTGTGGTAGCATAAATACATTAAAGTAACAATACTAATTATAAATTAAGCATTTTTATGATTAAAAAATATAATAATTTTAAATGTATTAAATACATTTTGCATGTTGTACAGGGTAAACAAAATTTTTAAGTATTATATAGATTTTTTTTTTTTTTTTAAACTCAGGTAGCTTTATGTTTAATGTGATTACTGCAAAGAAAACCAACACATTTGTGTCTGTATTTTTTTAGGCTCCTCACTGTGAACATGCCTTCTGTAATGCCTGCATCACTCAGTGGTTTGCCCAGCAGCAGATTTGCCCGGTGGACCGCACAGTTGTGACCCTCGCTCACCTCCGGCCTGTCCCCAGGATCATGAGAAACATGCTCTCCAAACTCCAGATCAACTGTGACAATGCCAGCTTTGGCTGCACGGCAACGCTCCGCCTAGATCAGCTGCAGTCTCACCTCAAAGATTGTGAACATAACCCCAAACGACCCGTCACCTGTGAAGAGGGCTGTGGGTGAGTGTAAAACCTGCATTAAGTCACTTTTCTGGTGTAGGATTTGCCACCTGCTTGTCTTCACAAAGATGATATTGTTTTACCTGGAATGTTTCAGAGTAAGGCATTAAACTTATCTCCATCGATAAAAGCACATGGCCAACCCTCTACCAGAAAAGTTAGAAAAGTATAGTTTACTGAAGAAGACATGTTGTAGCACATTGAAATGTTTATATATTTATTTTATTCATGCATGTACAAAATTTGTAAGGTTGTTTCCTAGAGGCTGTCTCCTACAGGATCATGAACACATTCATTAGCAACTGAAACCAGGAACTAACAATTTCACTTCTTTTGAATTATTGTTTTTGATAATTTCAGCAGTTTATGTAAATTTACATATTGTAAATTTTTCAAAACTTCAATAATAACTAACTAAAATATAAAATGCAGTCAAGTTTTTTAAAAATGGATTGCCCAAATAATCCATAATGTTTAATAGTGTATCTTATAAAAGACTGCAGCAACTGTAACCTAATATCAAATTGCATTTGACTGATTTAATTAATTTCTTTCTGCCAATCAGTTAGGTGACAAAAAATGGGGTGTGTCTAAAGCTCTCAAAACTTTACGTATCTGTGTGTCTCACCCAAACTGTACTCACAAGACTACAACTGCATGGGAGTTCATGAAAATCAACTATTTATGCAGAAAAAAACAGTTTGGAAGCAATGTATTATATAAAGAAAAACTTGAGAATCAGTTAAATAATCAATGAATTTTATCATTAATCAGTCATTTTTAGAATAAGAAAATACCATATCTTCAACTAACACACTTACTCTCTACCTTCATTTTTCTGCTGTTATCCCATATAAATCTTTAAAATCTAATAAAATGATAGTCAACTAATACAAAGGCCGCCACACACTACAGGAGAATTTGCTCAATTTTGGCTGCAATTTGCTTCTCCCCAAGTTTGGGAAGGCGTGACATAACTTTGTGTCTTCGTGTGTGATTTTGAAGGTGCTGCACTACTCATGTGTGTATTGTCAGTGTGACTCTGAGCTTCTCTGTCATATGGTAACCACTAAACCTCAGCAACGCTACGGCAACAGCCAATAAAACAGAGCGTTTAAGATTGAAAAATCCTATAGTGCTTGTAGTGGCCTTAAAACTCTATTGACCGATTAATCGACTAAACAACAAAAAGCCATAGCCCTAATTTCTTCATTCTTTATTTTTTCCTTTCAGTCTTGAAATGCCCAAAGATGAAGTCCCCAATCATAACTGTATCAAACATTTGAGGAGCGTCGTGCAGCAGCAACAAACCAAGATTTCAGAGCTGGAAAAAACTGTGGCAGAACATAAGCACCAGCTGGGAGAACAGGTAAGCTCTCAGTATCTTGTTAAAAGATGGATTACCTGTAAAACTAGTTATGGAAAAGGCACCCAAGTAAATATTTTAACTTTTAACTTTTAACAGTTTAGGATGTTTTGTTTTGAGTCTTGAAGATCTTTTAAAATGGACCACTAAAGCAGAAAAATGTATTGGAATTTTTTTTTTTTTAAGCATTTTGAAATCACAATTCACAAATTACAAAAGCTACAGCTGTATAGAGTGCATAATAACCTGCTGTAGCGGACAAAATACAAAAAACAGTTTTCATGTTATACTCCTATCTTGGGCACATTTGTAACCAAATGTGTTTTCTAAATACAGAATATGTATGAATTAATTGTATTATTAATGAAAAATGTTAAACTCAAAGTCCAGATAACTATTAAGATTATCTAAATATGACTATGATTATTTCTTATAGTTGACTGGTCACAGTAAGGCAATTCATGTTACAGCCCTAGTCCTATTTATGTATAGAAACCTGACACTTGCCCTGCAGATATATTCGAAAATGCATTATTGTTGTATTAGTTTCACTGTAAATATTTCAGTGTTTTCCTAATGTGGAAATTAATCTTAAAATTAATGTTATCCAAAATGTCTCACTCATGAACTGCACTGACTTCCTTTGTTTTTATATTTGTTATAACCATGATTTTGTTTTTTGTCAGAAACGGGACATTCAGCTGCTAAAAGCGTACATGAGGGCAATACGGAGCGCCAACCCAAACCTGCAGAACCTGGAGGAGAGCATTGAGTATAATGAGATTTTGGAGTAAGTCAAGACTTTTAAAGCATGTTGGCTAAAGAGCTATAAAGCAAAGGACAAAACTAGTATTTGCAGAATAAAGTGTATTATCTTTGAAAATCATATTGTTTATTTTTATTATTGATTTAATAATGCCGTTTTCTTTGTTATGACTGTCTTTTGGCATTTGTAGTGTGATAATGATGATTATCAAAATTGCTATTGCGATTATTTTAAATGATATGTTAGCTAATGCTAGCTTGTGACTGTAATGTGACTTGAGAGGGACTTGTTTAACAGCTCAAAATCGGCTCACCTGTTATAGTTCCTGCCAAGTCAGTTTTTTAGGGTCAGATTGTGTTAAAACTAAGCTCAAATGAATTTGTAACTTGAGTAACAGCGCTTCTGACAGAGCAGAGCCTGTAGTTAGCTTCTGCAATAATCTCTCCATGGAGATGAGCAGGTGGTGGACCATCCACCAGAAAAGTTTCATAGTGCACCATTTAACATTTATGAATGGTCACCCTAATCTTGTCTTGTCTTGTGCACAGATGGGTAAACTCCATGCAGCCGGCGCGCGTGACCCGTTGGGGGGGCATGATCTCAACTCCGGACGCCGTGCTTCAGGCAGTCATCAAACGCTCGCTCATCGACAGTGGCTGCCCCCTCTCCATTGTCAACGACCTCATCGAGAACGCCCACGAGAGGAACTGGCCTCAGGGACTGGCCACGCTTGAGACGCGGCAAATGAACAGGCGTTACTACGAGAACTACGTCGCCAAGCGGATCCCCGGGAAACAGGCTGTCGTGGTGATGGCCTGCGAAAACCAACATATGGGAGAGGATATGATTCTGGAGCCCGGCCTGGTCATGATTTTTGCACTCGGTGTGGAGGAGATTTTATAACTGTAAATCTGCAAATGTCTTACTCGGGACAGTGTCTGAGTAGAGTAACAAAAACGCAAAAACTGACAAGCAAATCTGACTTTTTCAAATGGAAATGCAAACACAAGGAGGTATAGTATAAGCTTGATACTGATAATAATGGCTGGCCTGTCACGATAACAATATATCACATTTCAAAATGTATTAAGAAAATTAAGATGATAAGTGAAATAGGGATGCACCAGTCCAACTTTTTCTGTTCCAGTGTCGATACTTTGGCTTTAAGTATTTGCCGAGACTGATGTATTTCTTATAAACAAAAGCGAGGTTATCATAGTAAAGTAAATACAAAACTGTTTTGAAAAAAAATACAAGTTTATTGTAAGTCGACATTTTGACCCAACACCAATTACATCAATTTATGGACCAAAACGGGACATCTGCTATTGGAACTGATATTGTGGAACAGACATTCAATCCATGGGAAAAAATCTATATCTGCACTGATATCCAATACCAGTATTGTATCTGTGCATCCTTAAAGCGTCAGTATTAACACAAATGTACTGTATATGTCACTGAGACATTTTCTGGGTTTCAGATGACATCACAACATTGTATAGGGCAATTATTTAACACAGATGGGGGGCAGCTCAAATTGAATATTGTCAAAAAATATATTTGTTTTCAGTTTTTTCTTGTAATACACTGACTGTATTGGTCTAGTAAAAAATGTGAAATTATCATTTTTAACATTGTGAATTTACCTTGGGGATATTTGATGCAAAGTAAAATGTTAACAATGGGAAGACTGTTTCTTGCCCCCATCTGGGAGTATGACATTCACATCGCCATATATAAGAATCTGAAATCCACCCATAACCCAAAAGCAGGATTATCCTAAAAAAAAACTATTCTAAATGTAGAATATCATTTCAAAACATGAGCTGATATAGACAGCTGAAATAGAAGAAATTAAACATTTACCAGCAAGTAGTTAGTTTAGTTTGGTTTGTACCTTCAGTTTATTCAGATCTCTGCATTTTAAATCTTATTGTAATACATAAAAATAACCAAAATGTCCTTTCTAGTACAAAGAAAAAGTACCCATGATAAATACTGACCCGTAAAAACATTGTTCCCTCTGTCATTTATTGACGTTATAATAATTATCGTGACAGGCCGAGATCGAGTTGTACCTGATCTTTGCACATGATCTGGTGGTAATTTTATAATCGTAAATCTGCTAATGTTTTACTTAGGGAGAAGCCTGAGCAAAACCATAACAAACCAGTTTCACACTAACCTTACTTGCATATACTGTACATGAGCAGAAAACACTATATGATAATAGCATTTTGAAGAATACAGCAGTTTCTATACTTCTTTAGAAAGCTTTTGTTGAATTACAGTCAGGTTAATGCATGCTTCCAGCCATGGAGGCCACCTTAACTATAAAGACCAAGGGGAACATGCAGAAGCGCTAGTCCAAGCTTGATACCGATGCCTTATAACATACACAGAATAGGTTTTGTTCACTACAGTTGTAATCATTCCTGAAGCAGGGCAGGGTCTAGACTCAATTGACTTGTTTTATATCTATTTATAAGAATATTCCTAATACTTTTTGTTGTGAATTGGATCCACACATTTCCCAAATTAGTCTGTCTTAATGGTGCAGCATGTAATATTTCTAGTGGAGAGTCAGCCACCTGCTTGTCTCCATGGATATCCTATTGCTTTGCCAGAAAAGTCCCATAGTATGGCGTTAAACTTGTATATCTTCCAGTTGTGTTATTATTACCAAAGAATTCTTGGCTCTTTGGCATCACTTGCTTGTCTTCATGGAGATTAATGCCATACTGTGCAATATTTCTGACAAAACAATAACTTCCAAACTTGGATATTGAAGTTTTTATGGACCCTCCACCAGTAAATTTACACTGCAAGTCTGTGAATAATCTTACTGTTTGATGTCTGCTCCCCTGCCTTCATTATAAAGTACTGGCTCATTCGAATGTTGCAGTGTCAAGTGAACCCAATCTATAGACAGCAAGATGGATTTGATCGATTTAAAAACAGGCCTTTACAATGTTTTTAGTGCATTATCTTATCTGATTGTTCTGCTCCAAATACAGACCGTAACAAAACGCAGTCACACCTCTTCTCAGATCCCTAATTGTGTAAATTATTGTAAATAGAAATACTATATTGAATTCTAACATTCAAGATTCATCTCGCTGTTAAGTGTGATTTTGAAATGATTGATTCTTAAAAATAAGGTGCAGTGTTTAACTTTTTTTCCTGGGGCATCTGCTACCTGCTTGTCTCCATGGAGATGATATGTTTTGCCTGGAAGTTCTGGTATGGCATTAAACATATGGATCTTACATTTATTCAGGTACTTAAAATACCTTTAACATTCATTCTTTCTGTGAGTGGGGTCACCTCGCCACCCGTAACTTGGCCTTGTGATAGTTTTGTTTAAAGCCTACTGCAGAACATTACAGGAAGGGAAATAACATCTCCATGGAGACAAGCGAGTGATGGACCCACCACCAGAAAAGTTACACAGTGTACTTCTAATTCAGTCTGTGTTACTCTGCTGAAAAGTTTACTTAGTTCGAGATTTTTTGTGTAAATTTCACACGACTTCCTGCTTCGTTTTAGATTGTCTGAACCTTCTGTGCCATTTATTTGTATTTATTGTGTTGCCTTTTATGGAAAGTCGTGTTAAATGCTTGAAAATGTCACAGTTCGATGTATAGAAAATGCCTCTAAAATGTGCATTCTAAGTCTATGGGGCTGATGAAAAATGTGATTGTCAGTTTGTTTTTCTGTTGTGAAGATTTTGCTTATGTTCATCCATCATTACATATCAACCATTATTAATACAGTTTTATGCTATGCTATCTCTTTACACAGCTATAGAAGAAACACATAAACATTTTCTGTTATGACTTTCAACAGATATAATATTCCACCATAACCCATGTATAGTAATAGACAGGTAAGAGCGTACAGTAATCATCTGGATAAAAGCCTTCAAATCATTAAATGAATATGTTTGCATTGTGTCCTTTGTTGACGCTCTCCAGGTAAAGTTTTCATTTGTTTTGTGTCTGTTAATATGTGAAGGAATAAAATGCTCAAATGTTAATCAAAATCTAGATGATGTTGGCATTTAAATATTTACTAACTTTCAACATAAATTATCATTAAACTAACTCAAAGTTCCAGTTGCAGTCCCAAGATAGGCAGCATTAGCTAACAGCAGGCATGTCCAAACTATGGCCCGTGGGCCAAATGCGGCCCTCAGACAAATTTTTCTTGGCCTGCAGTCTTCCAGATGAATTGGCCCAGATTGCCTTGCATTGCATAAAAATGAACTTTTTCCTGCAAGGTTTTTGAAAATCTACCTTGATAAAACCAATATTTAATATTTTGTGTGTGGTTTTAAGGATCTTAACTTGAATAAAGGACTGATGGTTCACTCTAATGTGTTAAATATGCACATATTTCAATTTTTCACTGTATTGAGCATCAGTTTACGGCCCTTGATCAGCGCTCTGCTTCGTTTCTGGTTAGATATGTGGACCTTGATGAAAAAAGTTTGGACAACCCTGGCTTACAGTATCTCAAATAGTTACTCTCACCATTTTTGTTGAAAATCAAACACCTAAACAGGACCATGTAAGCGCAGGCTCTTAAAAATGTATTGTTTAAATCCATTTTGTATTCTTGAGTTTTCAGATCTTAAAACTTTTGTGTCTATGGTAACTGCTTAAAATGCCACCATAGATATTCATGTATAACAGCCCCAGCATGATGTCACTCCAAAGTATCAAAACTTAAAACTTGCACTACTTAACATTGACCACAATAATAATTGACAATCATTCATATTGAAAATTGTATGTTATTTATTATTTATTTTAGAGTTACTCAATTTTCTGTACTTGTTTTCCGGTCAGACTTTGGAACCCCACTGGAACAATTGCTCTACTGCAACTATAAGATACTTATATTACTATTTACAATAATTAAAGCTTGGTTTGTCTACTATGGCTACCATCTCATAGGCTGAATGATCCTTTAGGTATTTTAGATTGAAAAGACTATTATGATTGATTCAGCTATTATACGGAGCTCTCAATAATAATTCACACTATACAGATGTTAGGTTTTTGTTTATTTTTTTCTGTTTGTTTATGTTTATAGATTTACATAATAATAATAAAGGTTGGGGCTGGTGTAAGTGGTATGTTTAAACAAATATTATGTAATTTTCTTGCATATGCTGTTGTTGTCCAGACAACCTCTGGGGGCTCTGGACCCCACCGGAACCACTGCTCTACTGTAACTAAGCTACTTACGTTGGAATTTAGAATATAATCAGGGCTATTAGGTCTGTACACTATTCATGGGTTTCAGCTTTCTGTTGTAAGGTGACATTTTGAGGACTGTTGACCATTCAAAAGTTGGAATATTTAGTTTTGAATTGTTGATTGCTATGGCAATGGTCCTGGCTTTGCCTCATTCTGAAACCCATGGACAGGCTACCACCTCACAATACTGTACCACAATTTCAGCTTTTGCTTTAGATATTTTAAATTGGTATACTGTGTGAAATACACATTGTTCAGAAATGTATTGTAATTTTCCACTTTCTGTCCGTTTCAAGGGCTGTTCTGCTCTGGACAGACCCAGACAGGGCTCTTGTTTTCAGTCCTCTACAGTTCATTGTGGCCCTAATCCTTCTCAGTGGAATGTGAAATCGTGCACTTTGCTCATTGTCTGCTCCTGCTGTGATGAGACTGCAGCCAAAAACATAGCATTTAGGTTTAATCTTAAATATTGCATTGTGTTTGCATCCTGTTTGGTTCTGGTAGCATCATAACTATCTTGGGTGTGTACAAAATACTAGACTAGGTAATTATCACTCAAGTGGAAAAAGAAGTACCCATGCATGTGAAAAGGTTTGCTTTAAAAATATTTTTTAAATGTAGGGCTCCTGAGTGATAGGGTTGTTTATCTATCTGATACATAGAATAAGACCACCATTAGCCTATAGATCTATGTCTTGAATTAAGTGGGAGTGGCACTGTGGGTTAATATTTCATTCATCAACTAACCAGTGTGTTTATGGTTCAAATAGCTCATGTTATTGTCTCCTTGAGCAAGACACTTTGCCCAAATTAAAGGGCCCATATTACGCTGTTTTCTGACCTAGGTTATAACGTTGTTTCCTCATTTAAAACATACCTGGAGTTGTGTTTTGTTTCATTCACACCCTGCAAATTTAGAGTTCTTTTTTCAAACAGACAACACTATGTTCCACTTTGTGATGTCATGTGGTAATACAGGAAATCACCAGAATCATTTCGATAATTTCAACCCTGGATTTTCCAAATCTCTACTAAACCAAAAAGTGGTTGACATCACATCACAAAGCGGCATTTTGAGCTTTGAAGATGTAAACTAATCGCCAATTCCAGATATGTTTTTGATGAGGGGACAACATTCTAACATAACTAAAAGCTCACAACAGTCAATTTTGCGCAATGTACGCCCATTAAAATAAATAAATACAATAACATGTATTACTACAGTACACGTAAGCTAATATCAAGTAAAGTTGGAATTTTTTTTCACGTGATAACGGAAAAATAAATAATGTGCTGTTAATGCAATAATTCTCAAATAGAAGTTTACATTTACAGTCTTTTACGCCTCTTCACGTACAGCTCGTGCAGTTTTTTATTTTTATTTTTAGTTGCATGTTAGCCATATTTTTCCTCAAATACCAGAAAGACAAAAGTATGCTACCCTAAATTTAACTCTTAACTAACCACTCTGGGAAATGTCCCTTGACGTCTATTCAAATGCTCTGGTTTAAAAACATCTTTTCGCAGCGGTCGTGATTCACGCTGACTGACAGCTCTGAAGCGGCGCTGTAGGACCGTCATTTCCCCGTCATGTGAACTGTGGAAGTTTGCAGGGGGCGTGTGAGAGAGCGCAGCCGACACAAGAGAGACACGGGCGGGCGGTCCTTCACTCTCCGTTCGCCTCTCTACACTCGACCCACGGTCCCTGCTGTCTGCGCCTGCCCGAAGTTAGCGGACACTTTTACCACCAAAACGCCGCTGTCTGACTGGCTTCTCTTCCAACTGCACCCCTAACACTTGACTAAAGACCGCAACGGAGCAGGTAAAACGCAAATTTGTCGCTACTGGATTGAAGTTTTGCACGATTTCGTTAGACATTTAGCTGCAATTGTAGTGGTTACGGCTTGCTGATAACGCCAGAGAATACACCAGTAAAGAGTCGACTGTCTATTGATTTCCATGCGGTAACTTTACAAGAATCTAACATGCACTACCCAAAATGTGTGCGTACGTGCGTCATGAGCGCGTAATTCACTGAAATATCCATTGTATTTTGATATGTCATTGAACAGTCGTGGTTACCTCATTTATTACGATCATGTGTTAGGATCGTAGTGATTTCTAATGTCAACCTGGGTTACGTTACTGGAGGGGGACACCCTTTCAGTGCAGCCAACGCTATTTTTAGTTGTAGAGTTGTTGTGGACGTATTTGAAATATCGTTTTTATTTTTAAGATTTTAGTCTATAGTTTGACTTCTTGCTAGTGTATGATTCATGGTTTTATATAGTTGTTCTCAATAGTTAAAGGTGCACTATGTAACTTTTCTAATAGGGGCTGACATTTGTCTCCATGGAGTTGTTATTGCTTTGCTTGGAATATTCCACAATGTTAATAAACTTATAACGTATATCTCCATGGGGAAAAGCAGGTAATGCCACCAGACTAAGTTACAAGTCAGGTCTTTGAAAAGGCGTTCCCGCTTACAGTAAGAATGCATGTTTTCCAAGCAATTCTATCTGTAATTGAATAAATGTAAGCCAGAGTAGCTACAGTAGTAAGTAGGAACATTCCCCGCAAAGCAATAACCATACATAGTGCCCCTTTCAATGCTCATAATCTTTCTCTGTGCGTAAAATAGTCTATAATATTATTGTTTTAAATTTTGTTGCCTAATAGCCTATATCAGAGTGGAATGTTGAATTGAAAATCCATTGTTAGATTAGGCTACCCTGGTGATATTACTTTGCTTACAGCGCACAGTGGAAGTTGACTGTACCCCTATCCCAACTTAACCAAACAAGACTAAAAAGTGCTGATAGACTATTCTCGAGACTACAGCTTTAAATTTCACTTCTAAGACAGGGTTGTAAAATCAAGAGATGAAGTGAAATTGAAATTTGAATGGACTCAAATAACAAAGACCGCATTATTTTAGTAATTTCAACAAAGAAAGTTTCCCTTGTATAAAAGCTGCTGACGCTGTAGTGTAATCTTGTATTAGTTGAAAAATTAAAATGTACACTGTAAACAGAATAGTCAATAATATAAAATTCCGAACTTGATTTATGCTAAGACAAAAGCTTGATAAAGATTAAAGGCCATTATAATAACAGGAGAATAGAATTTTCAGCCATACAATTCAATGCGTTATTACACTAGTTCTAATATAAATCAAGATTTTAAAACTATTAAGGAAAGATCCCATTTTGTGGTATATTTTCAAGTATCAGTGCTTGTTAGAGTAGTTTAAAAACAACTTAATGATTAGTATCATTTTTGACAACAAATCCTAGAACAGAATCTAATCTAACATGACTTGCAAATCCAATCGCAATCATATGAATCAGAATTAGATGTACAATTTCCCTCTAGCATTTCCGCTAACTAAAACCATGTTAAAATAACATTGCAAAAGCCTCATAAAATAATAATAATAAGTTGTAGTCTAATGTTTGTTCCGATGCTGCATGTCTTAATGGAGCTCATCTGTCTGTATCTGTGTTTGGCCGATCAATAATGTGGAGTGGGTCATTTATGTCTCATGTTAACAGAGTCACGACGCTGGAGAAGATTATGTCCTGCTTCAAATCTAATTGAGCTAACAAACATACAAAATTACAACCAGAGCTATTGAGTTTAGGGCAAGACGGTGGCACAGTAGGTTAAGCTTTCACCCATCAACCGGATGAGACATGTTTTGGGAATTTCCTGGTTACTTATAATCATGTCATTGTGGTCTTGGTGGTGATGTCACGATATTTGACTTGATTTTGATGCCAAGAAAAAGCTGCTAATATATTCTTTGACACCACAATGATAATGAAAACATATTTTTTTGTAGAATTTTTTATAATTTTCAACACAACGCAACACAAATTTCTGATGAAGCATCTGCCAACTCCATGTTTCTTTGGAGATGTTATTAATTTACTTGAAATGTTCCGCAGTACATCATATGGAAACTGATCTATATTGCATTTATTCAGTTATGTTTTTATTGCCAAACATGCATTCTTGCCTTCAGAGACACCTGACTTATAATCGGCCTGTTGGCCTCACCTGCTTTTCTCCATTAAGAAGTTTAAAACCATACTCTGAAATATTACAGCCAATGAAATAACAACAAGGAGACAAGTAGGTGGCGTACCAAAAAGGTACTTAGTGAGCCTTTAATGTTACCATGTAGTCTTTATACTAGGTCATTTGCATTTTTTCAGTAGGGCCTATTGATACCAACCTTGGTCTTGGGTTAACCATTTTGCCCACTTTTGTAACACTTTGGTCAACATGTGTAGTAAACAAGGTTTCAGTTGTACACAATCACAATTAAGGTTAGAAGTTAGGAGGGATAGGTAAAGATTCTGATGTAAAAAATAATAATAATAATAATTGTGACTATATACTTTCAGACAATGTTGAATGATAAAAATGTCTACACTAGTTTGTTTCATTTTACTGTCCATTCACTTTTTGTGTGATACTTGAACCTCCACATTAAAAGGCATATTTTAGCACATTTGTGGTTTTATTGCAAAAAATATTGTGAGGTGAGAATAAAATTGAAATATGAATTTTTCTCATCTCGCCCACTTTGACTAAATTACAATGGCAAGGAGTGCAAATCTTTATCAATATTCGTTCTGACTCATTAATTTGGTTTTGAGATAATAATCAGCTGTGCTTACAATACCTTGGTGGAACTTAAAAGTTGAGAGATATTTTCTTATATTATTTTCTTATATTATTTCTTATGTATTCTTATCTTATATTATTTCTTTATGTTTTATTTATTATTTTTAATCAGTTATTTTTCTATAATATTAATAGTTTTCTGATACACTAATTGTAAACTATTCTACTCTATATTTGCATAGCTTCAAAACAACAATTTCAGTATTATCTTCGAGAATAAACATTGTCCACCAATCTCCACTGAGGAGCATCAAAGGAAATTGATACCCCGATTAATCAATACTAAAACTAATATTGAAAATAGACATTTGTTTGAGCAAGTATCAGTACTGAAAAAAAAAATCACATAAATATGAAGAAGTTGGACATTTGTTAAATAGTTTTAGAGCAGTCATAATCAGTGGGTGCGGTCACATTTGGAACTGGGATTTGAATTGAACCCAGAAGTAAATGGGCTGGACTCGACTGGTACTAAATTAGGACTAGACCTGGAACAAGCCAAGTCCACATTAGGACTAACATGGTCTCAAACCAGAACTAAACCAGGAGAACAGTGAAAGCACCCCAAATTAGTATTGATACTTTGCATTGACATTACGCTGGGGGTGTTCTATATGTATGTCAATTGGTGGAATGCTCAATACACTGGTGATTCAATGTGCGCATTAGCAAAAACTGTGAAAAATGTTTTATTATAATCTGAAAAGTCAAGAAAAAATACAAAATAAATTTAAACAGCTCATTTTCAGGACCCTGTGATCAATAGCATTCATGATCCTGCTTAGGATTTACATTTTCAACAGAATGACTAATTAAAAAACTGCTAGTTATCTTGCGATGGCAATTTTACATGTGAAAGACTTGTTTGAGCGCACAGATCATCTTACCTGTTGTAGTTCCATCTAAGTCAGCTCTTTCTGGTCAAATTGTGTTAACCCTCTCCAGGCAGGCGTTGCAGATTTGCAACAGCTAAATGCCAATTACCTACTTACTCCAAATCCATATTTTATGAGCTTTTTTTTACTCAGGAGCCTTTTTTCCCCATCCATGCTGATAAATGGGGATGATGCACACTGTGCGAGAATGGCTACACACAAACGGCCTGCCAGAAGTGCAAAGTACTTTTGTTGTTTACAAAGGATAAAAATTGTTTCTTGGAGTACCACATGAAAAAGTGATGTTGTTCTGCCACTGTAAAGCTGTTACACTGTGCTTTATGTTTTCATTGTTATGAAAAGTGGTATACACATAAAGTTAGTGTTCATATCATTTTCAGTCTTTAGTGTTAATTTACCACACCACGCCAGTGCTGCAAATCTGAAAGATCCCAGAACACATTGGATGTGACGGTCTCTCTCAAAAAAAAAATCTGGATTGTATATTACTACCCCATATAATCATTTTACCCAAATATCAGATTTTTTCCTGTTACTAAAATTAAATTTGTTCCTGACAGGGTTAAAATAAAGCTCACATTAAGTCTAACTTGAGTAACAGCTTCTAACAGAGCAGTGCATACAGTTAGCTTCACACGCCCAGGCAATGTTGATGACATCAACTGCAAAGCATGAATAAGACCACATGGTAATAATAGCACTGTAACGTTTCTGGTTGAGGTTACGCCACAGACTCCATAGAGATGTTGCATTATCTTTATTATTCTACTGTACTGCACTGAACTTATCTAGCAAGCATCCCTGTCAAGTGTTTTTAATGTTCAAAAATGTATTGAAAAATTCACATTTTTACTGTTAGCAAGGTCACCACCTCTCCACAGGTCTGATTTGTAACTTGGCCTGCTTGTCTACATTGAAATTGGTCTATTGCCATACTGTTGAACATTTTATTCAAAGCGTTAACATTGCACTCGACACAAGCAGGTGACATACCCTCCAGCAGTGCGCTTTCAAAGAACGTACTATTGTTGTGTTGCAAATTCCATTCAGTTGTTCACAAAAATCTTTTAATTGGCATTGTGGTTATCAAAATCGGCAATGAACCTTTCAAAATCAAGTTTGACATTTTATTATCTTGACAGCAGTGGAACTAACTGACACATCTGATTAGTAATGTTCACAAGAAAACTCTGGTGTAATGGCATTTCTATTGTAATGTCATATTTGGCTG